ATGCTCTTGATGGAACAGAAGACGACTTGTTGTGGGATTATGAGGCTAATGAGAGCGTGAATGAGGATGAAGATATTGATGATCCTATGGCTGATGATGGTGTTGATCCATATGATGATGCTGTTCAAGGAGAGGACTGGGAGGAGCTGTTTGGTGCTGCAGATGATGACAAGGAAAATGATTTTGATGGATTTTAATGAAAATATTCAGAAATATGGTATCGTAGTATTTATTCAAGTCAATTAGGATAGAATATTATTGTAATTCAACAGTTTTTAACTGAAAACCATTCGAAAAGCGATTACGGCAAAATCTTTTGAACGACGAAAGAAAGTGAAAGTCATTGTTTTCGTCACAATTTTATCCCACTTTCCACTGTAATACGTACGTCATTTCAGCAAAAATATTACATTTCCATATTTATTTCTGAGAATATATTCATTCAGGCACAGTTAAGGTAAAATATACTTGTGATGTAATATTTTAATGAAAATATTTATAAATAAGGTATCGTATTTTTCTTTTGTTTCAAATTTAATTAACAAAGATTGATGTTTCAAATTTAATTAAAAAAAATTTATGTATCCATAAATAAACTTTTAAAAATGAATACTTTATGTTTTACATACTCCTGTGCATACCATACCATACCATGCATTTGGCTACTTTTGGCTTGCTATGATGACGCAAGAGATCTGCCCTGGCAACTGTACCGACACTCACAGTGGGTGGTGACTTGGTGCGTCGTTTCCATTGTTTACTGGTAGTTACTGGTAAATATTTTTCAACCTAACGAAACTATTACCCGTATAGAGGTCGACCCCCAACTTTTTGCCAAAAAATTTGGTCTTAAGAACTCGTGCTATACACGGGTATATACGGTATGTATGTATGTATGTATGTATGTATGTATGTATGTATGTATGTATGTGTATATATACAGTGACCCCTCGTTTAACGAACACCTCGGTTAACGTTATTTCGATTAACGAACTGCCTTCCATAAGGATCTTCAATTCGGTTAACGAAAAAAAATTCGGTTAACGAAGTTCTTACGAACCGACCTCAACATGTTTTTGCTTGCACGGACCGGGCAACCAGCTTTAGTATCAGTCCGCCAATACATTAATCGGTTCTAGGGCTTAAATTCCTTACTATTTTAGTAAATATCAAGAAGTTTATACTATTCAATAATTTTAAAAGTTTAATATTAAATTTTTTAGTCATTTTAACAATTATTGAACATAACTGAAGGTAAAGTGATTAGTTTAATGCGCGGCATCCAGCCTCTTAACACAGCAAACAGGAGTTAGTCTCTCTCTGTTTTCACTGGAGGTAACATCTTGCTTGAGACTCTTCAACTAAACGCTTTTTTTCTGTGCTTCCAAGCAAATTATTGGTCATTTTGAAATATATTTTACATATTGACAATATATAATGCAGTGCAGTGTTGATTTAAAGAAAATAATCTTGAATTACACCAAGAGAGCTAAAATTTTATGGGTGAAATGAGACATGGGGTGACTTCTCTTCCAACCCCAATGCCTTCTTTTCTCCTTCTCCTCCACCCCCATTCTAAATCCCATCATCATCATCATCCAGGAGCCTTCTACATACACACCTCAAAGTAAGTGAACTTTTCTACCATTTTTGTTGAATTTAGGAAATTTTCGGTGAGCTGGAACCAATTACCCAAAAACCCATTGAAACAATGGTTTCGGTTAACGAACGACCTTCTGGAACGGATTGAGTTCGTTAACGGAGGGGGTCACTGCACGCGCACGCGTGCACACACACACACGCACGCACGCACGCATGCACACACACACGCACACACACACACACACACACACATACATATACAGTAGTACCCCGCTTAACGCGGTCAATAAAACCCACAGGGTACCATGTTAAGTGAAAACCGCGCTAAGTGAACAACAGAACATATGGGATTAATTCCAAAAGAAACTGGCCCGACCCCCAAACTCCACTTTTTCCAACACAATACCTATGTTCTAGTAAAAATAACATCTTAATTTTATGATAGTACATGCACACAATTAATACTTAAGAGAAATAGAGAAATACAGTCGCCAAGTTAATGTCCATTCAAATAATGGACTCAACTCCCTCCCCCTCTTCTCACACTACACTGCTGGCTCTTCCCTCTCTGAGAAATTTTTGGGGGAAAACCACTAAATTTTAATAAATAATACCTCAAACTAAAGTTAGGATAATACAATTGACATTGCTGGATTCCTTGTAAGACCAGGAATATTTTGAATATAAATGTCATATATTTTGCACAAAAGATAACATATTTACTCAGAGTAAACATTTTATCTAAAATTTGTATGTCTAATGCAAAATATATGATGTTTATATTCAAAATGATCACCAAATTGTAAGAATTCCAGCAATGTAAATTATATTCTGGCCGGGTAATTTGTATGAATTTTATGAGCTAAAACAAATATCTTCAGTTAATAAAAAAAATATTCTTCACGACACTATCTGTCAATCAAAGTACCCCACCTTGCCTCCCCCCCTCTTCCAACCACGCGGTCAGTCCCAACCCTCCCCCCCACCCCCCACCAATCCTCCCTGGAATTCTTACAATTTGATGATCATTTTGAATATAAACATCATGGATTTTGCATTAGACATACAAATTTTAGATCTAATGTAATAATTTGGTTTACACAAACCAAATATTTTATCCTTTGTGCAGAATATATGAAGTTTACATTCAAAATATTCCCTGACCTGCAAGGAATCCAGAAATGTCAATTATATTATCCTAACTTTAGTCTGAGGTACTGTATTATTTATTACTAAACGTTAAAATCTAGAGTTTTCACCCACACATTTATCTGGTAGGGAGGGAAGGTGGGGGGGAGGGTTGGGACCGACCGACCCAGCTGGCGTGAGTGTGAGGAGGGGGGGAGGCGAGGTGGGGTACTTTGATTGACAGATAGTGTAGTGAAGAATTTTTTTTTTTTATTAACTGAAGATATTTGTTTTAGCTCATAAAATTCATACAAATTACCCGGCCAGAATATAATTTACATTGCTGGAATTCTTACAATTTGATGATCATTTTGAATATAAACATCATATATTTTGCATTAGACATAAAATTTTTAGATATAATGTTCACTCTGAGTAAATATGTTATCTTTTGTGCAAAATATATGACATTTATATTCAAAATATTCCTGGTCTTACAAGGAATCCAGCAATGTCAATTATATTATCCTAACTTTAATCTGAGGTATTATTTAATACTAAATGTTAAAATCTAGTTTTTTCACCCACTCTTTCTCTTGAAGGGAGGATTGGTGGGGGGTGGGGGGGAGGGTTGGGACAGACTGACCATCTGGCTGGGTTGGCAGAGGGGGGGGAGGCAAGGTGGGGTACTTTGATTGACAGATAGTGTAGTGAAGAATATATTTTTTTTTATTAACTGAAGATATTTGTTTTAGCTCATAAAATTCATACAAATTACCCGGCCAGAATATAATTTACATTGCTGGAATTCTTTCAATTTGATGATCATTTTGAATATAAACATCATAGATTTTGCATTAGACATACAAATTTTAGATGTAATGATTGCTCTGAGTAAATATGTTATCTTTTGTGAAAAATATATGACATTTATATTCAAAATATTCCTGGTCTTACAAGGAATCCAGCAATGTCAATTATATTATCCTAACTTTAGTTTGAGGTATTATTTATTACTACACCTGGTTTTCCCCCCAAAATTTCTCAGAAGGAAGAGCCAGCGAGTGTAGTGTGAGAAGAGAGGGAGGGAGTGGAGTCCATTATTTGAATGGACATTAACTTGGCGACTGTATTTCTCTATTTCTCTTAAGTATTAATTGTGTGCATGTACCATCATAAAATTAAGATGTTATTTTTACTAGAACATAGGTATTGTGTTGGAAAAAGTGGAGTTTGGGGGTCAGCTGGTCTCTATTTCATTTAATCCCATATGTTATGTTATTCACTTTACGCATTTCTCACTTTCCGCGGTACCCTGTGGGTTACATTAACCGCGTAAAGTGAGGGTTGACTGTATATATGTGTGTGTTTGTGTGTGCACCACAAAAATTAGGAACTATTGTAAGTAAATACATAATGGATATACTGTACGTACTGTATTTTTGTTTGCACTTCAAACTGCTACAGGCATCAATACAGGTAAAATCATATAGATACTGTAATAATAATACTGTACAATAATATAAATGTGCAAACTTTAAAGGGGGAGCATCATCACTAATCTAATTTGACTTAATGTAACTACAGTATTGTAAGTATGGTTAGGTAAGTCCTGATTGTAAGGGACCTCATAAATGAAAAAAAAAATACCATATAGTATTATGAACTAATTTCCACTGTAATTTATAGTAACAAAGACAAATAAAAAGGATTACTATTTGGTAAAATGGCCATAATTTTAAGGTTGCCAAAAAAATTCAAGAAATGACAATGGTACATCCGAAACAGATGGCAATGACCTGACCTAACCTAACCAATCCAGGTCCTGGTGTAATATTGTTGAAGTGACATTAAAAGCAAAAATTTTCTTCAATAAATTTGACAATTTGAATAAAAAATTTATGTTTGCCCATTTCATAAGAATGATACATTGGCGACCTTCATCACCTGGTTTCTTTTGGTCTATCACAGAGGGTACCACCATGGGAATAACTGTAATCCTTTGTGGTAGTCCTAAAAAATGGTTGGATTAAAGTCAAACTATGGAAACTTTTAAATTCTACTGTAAACACATCCTTTGCATGGCATGAAAGGCATTGACCTATGTTAAAATTGTTCACTACAAAATGATATGGGCTTTGAGAGCTTGTGCACTGAACTGAAAGTAACAGTAGCATTACAGACAAATATCAATTTGTCTAACTTTAGACATAAACACAAGAAAGATAAAAATAAACCCTACTGGTACAGTACAACATTAAATTACTTACTAGTGTCACAAAGGCAACCTTATAGTCATCCTTCTTTGTTATATAACCTTTGAAGCTTCTCTCACATTTACCTGAAAATATACAGTAGCTACCATCAACAAATAAATAAATTACAAAAAACAAAATCATATTACTAAACTTACCCACATCCCTGTCTGTTTTGGAAAGGACAAGTAATATGGACCTTCTCCTAATTATTACCTATGCCTTTACATCATCACAATCTCTATATCTCTAGGACCTTCTGTTCTTAACTCTTCCTCAGCTTTCTGCCCCAACCATGTTGTCTTAAACATACTGGTACAGTTCTAACATGTTTCACATCATTTTGGGACTTATGTAAAGCTAATTGAGATAAAATGCCCCCCCCCCCTCTTTTCTAATTTCTTGGATCCCATTTTTATTTAACCACACCACCCATGAAGATGTACACGGATGAAAAACTGCCTATCCAATAACACTGAAAAGGCTCACAGTGTACAAAGCACACACAGAAAACATGGCACCACATTTTATAATAGATTTTCCATGAAGTGTTTCAACTTCCTGATACTGTACACTACTTTATGCCAGAGAAAATGGATGCAGAGAAAAAGAAAATTTCATGGTTTAGAAAACACTGTATGTTGCTCCACTGGATAAGAATATCTGTGCAAATATCATAAATAATGGAAGGCATATTATTACAAGTGCATTGTGACTGAAAAACTGAAAATAACACAAATCTTTATAAATATGTTAAAATTAATTAACTCACCCATTCTCACATGCGTTACCACATTTTCAACTTGAACGTTGTAAATTTTTTCCAGGTAATTTTCTATATCATATTTGCTCATCTGCATTGACACGATGAACTGGACAACATTGGGTGGCTGGGGGGCATCTGGTTTTACAAGTTTCATAAAGAAGTTTGGAAGGAATACTCTCAACTGTGGATTCCCTTGCCGGTAGAGAGGATACCTGCAATATTTATAAGGTACTTTATATATAAGATGTCAACACTTTCTTATTGTATATGTGAAATGCTTATCCATGGTAAACAGGGGCAGATCGAAGAATATCAAAGGGGCGGGGGGTCCAAGAAGCTGTGGCTGGGGGTAACATGGCAAGCACAGAGAGCCCACCCAGCTAAGGGGTTCCGGGAGGGCGCTGTAAGCCCTCACGGAAATTTTTTTTAAATCTGACCAATATCACGGGCATTTTGAGGCCATTTTAAAGCCATGTGCACTTGATAGTAGGAGATATTCTGTGGTCAATAGTAATTACTTTTTACTACTGTATACAAAAATGCTTTGGGTACAATACTGCATTACAGAAAAAGTAATAGAATTTTCTGATGAAAAGGGGGTCAGGACCCCCCCCCCCTAAATTTACCCCTTGTAAATATAAGGTATGTATAGGTACATTGAGAATGAAGTACCTTGCCAGGGGTTTGACAAATTCTGTACAGGAATGTTTTGATTTATGAAAAATCGATACAGTATACGAAAGGTTTTTCAAGAAGATATGTCTTTCATAAATTAAAGCACTCATGTACACTGCAGAATGGTTGAGCCATTTGATACATGCATGTGTGGAGCCCATAAACAGTTGGCAGGTCTGTGACACCTTAGAAGGGGATTGCCAGTGATATCATTCACTGTGTTGAGTGGTCAGGTTTCATTAAACAGTATTTTAGCCAAAGCCTGGAAGATACTTCATTCCCTCACTGTACATGATTTTTAAGAATCTTATGGAAGAATGAACCACTAACTGAGCCAACCAAACCAACTTAACCTAATTTAAAAGTATTCTAAGACAGTCAGGTTAAATAAGTTAGGCTCAGTTGGTTGATTAAAACATTCAATGTCATAGTCTGACAACCTCCATTTACAATTAGTTCATTCAAAACTTAACACATGATTCTATTATATTTTGTATTACAGTAGATGTACCTCATTTAATGATGGGGATGCTTTCCTAAAAATCCTAACGATAAGTGAAAAAACTATAAAATACAGCTGCTCCGACTTACGACCTACTCGACTTACGACCACCCGCACTTACGACCTGCCTCAGTCGTACCAAAATTTTGTCAAATTACGTGTTTTCGAGTCCCAACGTCAGTATACAGAGAAAATTTTCGTTTGTAATTCACTTTAAAATGGCTGGCAAGCTTAAAAGTGAGTTTTAAGGAGCTGAGAAGAAAAAGAGACACCCATCTTAGATTTTCTATGTATTATTTAAGCATTTTCGACTTACGGCCTGAATTTGGGTCTCTAACCCCGTCGTAAGTCGGGGAGGAGCTGTAATATGTTCATAATGGGGCAGATGACTAAAACCAGAAGGAGTTGTTCAATTTTGTTGATTTTTTCTACAGATGTTCTTTGGGTGATAGTAAGCAAATGATATGACAACTTTTTATTTTAATTAATTTTTATTTTATTTTTTTTATCTATCTATAATCCTTAATCACTAAAATGATTTTTCTACGTGCTCTGTTTGTTTAAAACCGACCCGCTCAGTCCGAGCATACTCTCATGTTCACAACAAATTTTAAATTACAATATGATGCTTCAACAAGATTGGTTTCATTGGAACCAGATAAAAAATACTGTAAGTACAGTAAAGTACAGTACTTTCTGTTTAATATGGTGGAGGGTCCAGGGATGCTAGGTAAGGTTAGGAAAGATTCTTTAGTTGATCAGGACTCGTTCTATTAGGTTCTGTGCATTGTTGTATAATTTTTTTTACTTACCATCAGCTCTAGGAATACTAATAACATCCAAACAACAACTGCGGAAAATATTAACAAATTATATAAACGCCGCTCTTTCAGGTGCTAACCATCTCCAAAACTGTTACCAAAAATAGTTCGGCATTATTTTACTTTCGGACATAGCGCCCCTGAAAGTTATAAACTGCCAGAAATGAAAGTCAGATTCGTTTAAAACACATCAAAATACACTGGAAAAACACATTGGTCAACCCCTAGGGATTCATGTCCTAAAGTAAAAATTGACCAAATAGTCTAAGGTTCCTGTTTAACCCCAACTCCTGTTCCAAAGTATCACCAAAATAGAATGATAAAAATTCGTTTTATCCCAATTTCCCCATTTGGTAGGAGATATAATTTTTCTAGTGTATTTTGGTGTGTTTTTTAATTGATACTGACATTTGCTTCTTGTGGAAATGAGCCGTCCCAAACTTAATCTAACAAACACTAATCTATCGGGATAGAAACGAATATTAACTGACTGAGAGTTGAACCTAGATGTTTAGATTGGCTAATATGGAGGACTTCACAGTTGACGTGTTATTTGTTTTAATGTTTATATTCTAACTATATTTTCATCACTGATTTTTTATGGAAACTGCTTCATTCAGTAAATATTTAGATGAATAGGCACACACTACATTTTGTCTTTTACTATGGTTATGCAGTGGTACTCAGTCAATCATATGCCATGGAAGCCGTGCTGTTGCTCTCTGCTCAGCCAGTTCAAATTTCACCATGGCATGTGAAGGGAGTCACTGTTTGTATATGGACATTATTTGTGAATTCCTGAGAAAGACGATCTGACCTTTCAATTTTTTACAGTGTTATATGTACTCTTATTTATGAATGTGTTTGTGATGAAGTACTTTTCACAGCAATACTGTACAGTACTGTGAAATTGGACTTGGTTTGTCTTCAAATTCAACAGTAATTCACCACTTCAACACCGTGGCTCACCTCTTCCTCCAGTCTCAGTAACTGTAAGTCCGCACCCTGCAGGTGTTAAGTTATGCTAGATTAGGTAATGTTATGGTATTATTGCGTTTACATACCGTTCATTCCTACCACTAATCTATTATCATATTCGAATAAGACGTCTAATTATAAGATAATTTTCATCTATTACATTACCGGCGGAAATGTATAATAACGGAGATAGTTTTTCCAAATAAATTTATATTTTCTTCCATTATTTCCTGCCATTATCGTCTGCCTCTCACCCAACACTGCGTGTCTCTCGCATCTCCTTCATAAATCATGACGCGCATGCGTACCCGTACATGTCTCGCGGCCAATCAAAGGCATTTTTGCTAATTCAGAGTATATTTGGGGTTTCGACTAATTACCCAAATGTACCCAAATGAAGCCGCAATGAAGTCAAATAATGGTTCTACATGAATAAATCGGACTGCCAATCACTTCTTGACTGGTATTTGGTGTCACGCAGTCACAAAAAATTGGTAAACTTAATTTAATCTGAGTTAATAGATCGAGTGCATGTACCTAACCTAACCTAACCTCGACTAGTATTTGGTGTCACGGTCACAAAAAATTGGTAAACTTAATTTAACCTGAGTTAATAGATCAAGTGCATGTACCTAACCTGACCTAATCTAACCTAACCTAACCTAACACAACACAACTCAGATTAAATTAAGTTTACCAATTTTTTGTGACTTTATGACACCAAATAATAATCGAGAAGTGATTCACAGCCCAATTTACGCTTGTACGACCATCATTTGACTTCATTGCGGCTATATTTGGCTACATTTGGGTAATTACTCGCTCCCTCTGTACATGCACGCGATCTATTAACTCAGATTAAAGTAAGTTTTCCAATTTTTTGTGACTTTGTGACACCAAATACTAGTCGAGAAGTGATTAGCAGTCCGATTTATTCATGTAGGACCATTATTTGACTTCATTGCGGCTACATTTTGCTACATTTGGGTACATTTGGGTACATTTGGGTAATTAGTCGGACCGTATATTTGGCCCAATCAAAATCGAATTTTATTTTGGGTCTCATATTTTGAAATTCAAGTTCAGTTCCGACCATGGAAGTCTGAGATGGATGTCACTTAAAGTATATGGAGCTGATTGCGAGTTTTTGGAAAAAAAACGTAGAAACTATAGCATTTTTTCGATTGCATGGTGTTCTTCCTACCTCAGTAAAGTGTACTAAGAGCAAGACGGAATGTAAATATTGCAAAGACCAACATATGTGGCGTTGGGTTAGAATCCCAAAATGCAACGATGAACAAGAACCAGGCCAATAAGGTAAGAAATAGGCGATTCCATCATATGGTGAGAGCCAGTTAAGTTAGGTTAGGTTAGGTTTTGGTTTTTTGTGTATTTTTTAGTCGCTTAGCCACTTTTTTTTCGGAAAACGTCAAACGAAAAAAAAAACGTAAAAAAACCCGGCTAATTTCCGCCAAAAATGAAGGTTATATTCGGTCTAAAAACACACAAATACACTAGAAAAATATGTTTTTTAATTGCTAAAAGTGAACGGTGTGACTGCAACTTTACCAATGTTATGTTATGTTAGGTTGAACTTTTAAATAAACACTTTTTCACACATTTGCCATAACTGTGACAGTGTCCACTATAAAAACTATGTGGAAATGCGGCGTTTTTAAATTCGTTTTGTATGAAAAATCAGCTGCTGTGAAGTAGTAATTACTTACCGATTATATTTTGTATGACGATTTACTAAATAATTATGGTAAAATTATCGTTTGGGTCATCCACCTACTTGAGTTAAAATGTTTTTCAGTGGATTTTCATGGGTTATTAACGAATCTGACCTTTATTTCTACAGCAAATCAATACTTTTTGAGCTATCCCCCTTATCCAACAGTATTGCATATGGAATATTGTATTGAGAATAATTATATTTGTACCGGGTACCGTAAATGTAGGCAATTAACATTACCCAGACATTCTCAAACAGTAAGTACAAAGTATACAGGGGTAAAAGCTTAAGTTACCATCTAGTGGACATGTTTGTCTTTCTTTTACTCTGAATAAATTCTGGTCTTCTTCAATATACACAAGTTCTGTGCACGAGTCCAGAGTAAAGTTGTTTGTTTACTACAGACGCCGCTCCAGATATGTAGTGTTAAATATTTACCTCGAACGAACTCATACTTTCATCCTCTTCACCACTGATCGGCTCGCTAGCCGCCCGGGCGATCGGTCACATCTCTGTTACGCACTGTTGGCAAGTACTGGGCATGCACCGGCTCCTGAATGTACCTGAACCCGCTCCAGTGTTGGTCAAGTCTTGTCTTGAAAGAGCTCACACTCGGTGCCGTCACAACACTCTCTGGTAGATTGTTTCAAGAGTTCACAACCCTCACTCCGAAAAAGTTTGCCCTCACGGTTTTCTGGACTTGCGGCTTCTTCAATCTTGAGCTGTGACCCCTTGTGGGGCGAGCGTCCGCCAGCTCCAAGTAAGGACACTCAACTGAGTAGTGCCCCTGAGATGCTTATACACCTCAACTAGGTCCCCCCTTGCCCGTCTGTAGAATAAGCTAGGCAAGTTCAGGCGCTCCAATCTCTCAGGGTAGCTGAGGTGCCGAAGTGCAGTCACCAGTTTGGTGGCCCTCCTTTGAACATTTTCAACCAACTGACAGTCCCTAGCATATCTCGGGAACCAGATGGGGTGACAGTACTCCAGATGGGGAAGCACTTCACTCCTGAAGATTGTTACGAGGGACGGACCGTCTAGATATCTGAACGACCTTCTTATAAGACCCAATAATTTATTTGCCTGATTTACCTTCTTCTCACAATGGCCCGAGAACTTCAGCTCATTGTCAACATACACACCTAGGTCCTTCTCACACACAGTCTCAACTAGAGCATTTTCTTCATCCCGTTGGGACATATCATACGCCTCCTTACCGTTGGTACGCCCCAGGTGCATCCTCTTACACTTCGTGACATTGAATCTCAGCAGCCATTTCTTCGACCATTCCTGGAGCCCACAGAGGTCCTTCTGCAGCTCTTCACAGTCCGCTTGGTTCTTAATTTCCCGAAATAACTTGCCATCATCGGCAAACATTTGTATGGAGGAGTGTAAAAGATTGCCAACACGGTTTTATGCCGGGGCGCTCTTGCTTGACACAATTGCTCAAGGTATTGGATATTTGGACCCATATTCTAGAACGGGGTGGTAATATCGACAATATTTACCTAGATTTTGCCAAGGCTTTCGACAGTGTACCCCACGAAAGGCTGAAAATCAAACTGGAAGGGTACGGAATTCGGGGAAATGTCCTAGCGTGGATAGAAGACTTTCTACATGACCGCAAGCAATGTGTGGTGATTAATGGCACGAAATCGTCATCTGTACCTGTAACAAGTGGGGTACCGCAGGGTAGTGTATTGGGCCCGCTGTTGTTTGTTTGTTTCATAAATGATATGCCTGACGTTGTACACTCCTCCATACAAATGTTTGCCGATGACGCCAAGTTATTTCGGGAAATTAAGAACCAAGCGGACTGTGAAGAGCTGCAGAAGGACCTCTGTGGGCTCCAGGAATGGTCGAAGGAATGGCTGCTGAGATTCAATGTCACGAAGTGTAAGAGGATGCACCTGGGGCGTACCAACGGTAAGGAGGCGTACCATATGTCCCAACGGGATGAAGAAAATGTACTAGTTGAGACTGTGTGTGAGAAGGACCTAGGTGTGTATGTTGACAATGAGCTGAAGTTCTCGGGCCATTGTGAGAAGAAGGTAAATCAGGCAAATAAATTATTGGGTCTTATAAGAAGGTCGTTCAGATATCTAGACGGTCCGTCCCTCGTGACGATCTTCAGGAGTGAAGTGCTTCCCCATCTGGAGTACTGTCACCCCATCTGGTCCCCGAGATATGCTAGGGACTGTCAGTTGGTTGAAAATGTTCAAAGGAGGGCCACCAAGCTGGTGCCTGCACTTCGGCATCTCAGCTACCCTGCGAGATTGGAGCGCCTGAACTTGCCTAGCTTATACTACAGACGGGCAAGGGGGGACCTAGTTGAGGTTTATAAGCATCTCAGGGGGCACTACTCAGTTGAGTGTCCTTACTTGGAGCTGGCGGACGCTCGCCCCACAAGGGGTCACAGCTCAAGATTGAAGAAGCCGCAAGTCCGGAAAACCGTGAGGGCAAACTTTTTCGGAGTGAGGGTTGTAAACTCTTGGAACAATCTACCAGAGAGTGTTGTGACGGCACCGAGTGTGAGCTCTTTCAAGAGAAGACTTGACCAACACTGGAGCGGGTTCAGGTACATTCAGGAGCCGGTGCATGCCCAGTATTTGCCAACAGTGCGTGACAGAGACGTGACCGATCGCCCGGGCGGCTAGCGAGCCGACCTTTTGGTGAAGAATATAAAGGAAAAGAGTCGTGACCGATCGCCCAAGCGGCTAACAAGCCGATCAGTGGCGAAGAGGATAAAAAAAAAAGTTAAAGTTATTTATGAAACAAACAAACAACAGCGGGCCCAATACACTACCCTGCGGTACCCCACTTGTTACAGGTACAGATGACGATTTCGTGCCATTAATCACCACACACTGCTTGCGGTCATGTAGAAAGTCTTCTATCCACGCTAGGACATTTCCCCGAATTCCGTACCCTTCCAGTTTGATTTTCAGCCTTTCGTGGGGTACACTGTCGAAAGCCTTGGCAAAATCTAGGTAAATATTGTCGATATTACCACCCCGTTCTAGAATATGGGTCCAAATATCCAATACCTTGAGCAATTGTGTTAAGCAAGAGCGCCCGGCATAAAACCGTGTTGGCAATCTTTTACAAGGTTGTTTCGTAGTAGATGTTCCATCGCTGCATCTCTGATAATACTCTCAAGTACTTTACATATTATGCTGGTCAGGCTCACCGGTCTATAGTTGTTCGTGGAGTGACTATCGCCCTTCTTGAAGATAGGACTCACATAAGCCACTTTCCATTCACTGGGGACCATTTGTTCATCCAGGCATTTACAAAACAGAATCTTCAGGGGCTCTGCAAGCTCGTTGCACAGCTCTCTTAGCACTCTAGGATGCACCATGTCAGGTCCGGGACTCTTATGGACCTTTAGCCTGGACAGTTTATTTCTAATACCCTCTTCTGTGAACACAATGTGGGTCAGTGCTGTGTCGAACCGTCTGTCCTCAAACGCAGGAAGGTTAGTTGCATCCTCTCTTGTGAACACTGAGGAAAAGAAGCTGTTCAATGCCTCAGCTTTATCCTGGTCAGAATCTGCGTAACTACCAACTTCAAGCCTCAGGTCTGATACTCCTACTCGCGTTTTCAATTTCGACTTTGCATAGCGGTAAAACGCCTTTGGGTTTGACTTGACCTCGCGTGCAACCAGCCTCTGGAACTCCTTTTCAGCCCTCCTACACTCTATCTTTCCTTGGTTTCTGGCTCTTGCATAGACCCTCCTGTCTTGCTCATCGTTTGACCCAACCCACGTCTTGAATTTCTGGGTTTTCTTCTTAATTTTGTCGACCGCCGCATGGTTCATGTGTAGGGATCCCCTCGTATTCCTAGAAGCACTGGGTTTGGTCTTGGGTATATATTTATCGATCAAATGGGTCATTTTACTAGTTATGATATTCAGCGTAGTGTCTGCGTTCTTGTACCTTAATAAGTCAGGCCAGTTAATACCCCTCATCTCTTCCCTCATCCCATTGTAATTTCCCTTGTAATATTTGCACCTTGGCCTGGCCTTATCTTGAACTAGGTAACAGTTAAATCTGAATGACAACACTGTATGGTGACTGGTGCCAACTGGGGCAAGGTGTTCCAGTTTGGCCACCATACCCTCCTCGTTTGTTATGATGAGGTCAAGTGGCTTGGGTGTTTGCTCCCCTCTGTAATGTGTTGGGTCTCTCACATGTTGGCAAGTACTGGTTCCAGAATGTATCTACCTGCGTCACTGTTGGTCAAATCTGGTCTTGAATGAGCTCACACTGGCTAAATATCTCAAGTGTGACTTATTTCATGACAGTAGATATTTTGCTAAGCACTGGCTGTACTGTTTATAATATATAACAAGTTGTTTCTAATGCTCTGGAATAAAGCCACTATGCTGCTCTGTATAGCATAAACTAGTTAGATTCAGATTTCAGATTTGCCCCCGAGGGGGCTAGTTTATTGGGCACCCCCTTACATCCTGTGCAAGGTGAAGCGCAGAAGCGTTTACAGCGCCCAACAGGGAAGTATGAAAAGTTCATACTTGCCTTTATGACTCGTACATTAAGGGCGTAAAAGCCTGAAGGGTCATAGGTTTTGTCAAGTTACATAAAGTGAGAGAATGATGAGTGTGTGGGGGGAAAGTTCCCGGTACATTTCATCTGTTTATGGCAAAGAGTGGCAGGTCCCTAATAATGTCAAATGCCAGGCCTGTGACTAGGAGGAGGGATATCTGGTCTGGGAGGGAAGAGGTGTTGGTAACGGCTGGGGACCTATAGGAGGAGGTCATAGGGCAAGTGAGGATGTAGTGAGAGAGGGTGTGAGAGTCGGGTTGGCCACAAAGTTTACAAACAGTGCGGTGAGGCTCAGGGTTGCCAATGTACTCCCATAGGTACCTGTACCCTAGGCGCAGTCTCATGTATATAAGCTGTTGAGATCGAGTCAGGGATTGATATTCTTTGTAGTGGCAGTTGTCGTCACCGGTTACAGCGTCATAGTGGCATAGTGTGATGCTACCCCGTTGTTTCAGGTAGCATAAACTAGTGAGAAAACGAGTAGTTATTTGAATATTTGGACCTACAGGCGCACACCCAATAATCTAATTAAAACAAAGAATATTAAATAAATGATATTCACTATTAATAGTACACGAATTCGAATGGTCTATGAAAATCCAATTGAAATAAGAATTCCCAGTTCATCAGTCTTTTCCAAAATCTTGCAGCTTGCCCCTTTAAATTTGCCGCCACGAGAAGGTCTTTAAATAAAATCTTTTACGAGTTTCACAGCATCTTGAACATGAAAAATTATAACTGTACTTGTGAAAAAATATTAATATCAATGAAAAAAAAATATGTTTTAGAGATGTAAGTGGAATAATATTAATTTCTCATTTGATTGTTATTTTCAAGCCAGTGTGTGTGTTGGCAGTGGTGGTGAGTAGATGGTTGTCAACATCAGCTGGCCGGGTCATCCTTTATCCTGTTTAGTGTGAGTTACGGCATTTTCCTGGGGGTTACGGTGTTGGACAAAATGGACTACTCGATAGCAGGAGGGAGGCAGCGTAAGTGTACGTACAAAGAGGCGCATGACCTGCCTGTTGCAGCAGATGGCTCCTACCTACCCCGCACTCCCTTTACCCTAACCTGCCTAGTAAAAATAAAAAGGGTATAATCCTCTCCTCTTTAGATCTTCAATATAATCTTCACGTAGAGAAACACACTGTAATATCTATGAATTATATTGTAATAGAATGTAATACAAGTAGATTATAAAGGTAATGTGTAGTGTATTGTAGATGGTGTTATCTGAGCTGGTAAGTTCACTCGTATTATGTAACTGATTGTAGTAGTAAAACACTGTAACTTATGGTGACTGTTTAGTAGTTGCCACTTATAAAAAAGAAGGTGGGCACTGGGAGGCTTTATTCAACTTAGTGCAGCATCAGTATCCATAGATGTGTAATAAACAGAATAAACAGAAATTACAAATTAAGATTGATTAATCTTAAGTAACAGAATTAGCTGAAGAAAAATAAACATAGGTTATTATTCGGCTTAGCACATTTTCAAATCGCATAGAAGCACCTACTTTTCGGCAATTTCTACCTAATATATACATTCCTCAACCCTCGAACCTTTTTGGAAACGTGTTTCTTTCAGAAAATTCGCATAAGTGAGTCACGCTTAAGAAATTGATCAATAAATCTCCACCCGCCATTTCTTGTCCCACCGCGAGCTGTCTGGAGCCGTGAGGCATGTCACACTGCCTGCCACCTGCAGGGGTGAGGTTAGCTTAGGTTAGGTTAATTTAATTTAGTCAAAGCTAGGGGTCTAGATGTTTGGTTTCTGATGTATATGGATGTATTTTGTTCATATCTCACCTTCGTTTTTGATGGAAAATAGCCGTTTTTTATCAAGGATGACTTGCATCTCTTTTCAAAAACGACGCATTTCCCATGGAAACAAAGGTCAGATCTGGGTAATATTTCGTTAACCACCCATCACCTTTTTTTCACATGAAAAATGTACTTTTTGCTAGTTTTCTTGCCGTTTTAGATGATTATCTTTGGGGCAAATCACTTTTTTTTTTCTTTTATTAGTTATTCCCCCCCCTTCCACCCCAACAATGTAGGGGGCCACGTTGGGAATGCAGGGTTTGGGGGTAGGGGGTGCTGAAAACGAGTGATTTTCACCAAAAATAAATGTCAGAATCATTTAAAACACCAAGAAAAATAGCACAAAAAAAATTTCAGAAGAAAGGTAAAAACTAAACAAGGTCTATGCACTAACCTAACAGGCCACATCCTACAGATGCACAGTGTTATGTAATTTCCATCCATAACATCAAGTTGGGACTTAGAAAAATTTGTGATTCTTACAACAAATATATCGTGGATATTGCGTTTATTTTTGGAATGTCCCGCTAAATACACATACATATATTCTTTTGTTTCTCGAAGAGATCTAATAAATGGTAAGAGAAAAATTAAAAAAAAAATGTGATGGGTGGTTAACGAAAATGATACAGATCTGAACAAAACACATCAAAATACAACAGAAATCAAACTTCTCGTTAAACTATTCGAGGGTGTGTTAAAACGAATAATGGGTCCGACTAATTACCCAAATGAACCCAAATGTACCCAAATGTAGCCGCAATGAAGTCAAATAATGGTCCTACATGAATAAATAGGACTGCCAATCACTTCTCGACTAGAATTTGGTGTCACAGTCACAAAAAATTGGAAAACTTAATTTAATGTGAGTTAATAGATCGCGTGCATGTACCTAACCTGACCTAATCTAACTCAGATTAAATTAAGTTTATTAATTTTTTGTGACTTTATGACACCAAATACTAATCGAGAAGTGATTCACAGCCTGATTTACGCTTGTATGACCATAATTTGACTTCATTGTGGCTACATTTGGGTTCATTTGGGTAATTAGTGGGACCGCGAATAATTACCCAGACATGACATAACATAAGAAATATAAGAGAACTTCAAACAATATAATCTAGAGCACAACCAACCAAGGTGACTTTCTGCCTCATTTACACACAATTGCAGGGTCTCAATTGTTTCTGTTACCATTGACAGCACAACATACATATTGTATATTGTTTCTCGCTCTTGATCGTTTTTTTCATTTTTGTATTTCTTTATTATTATTATTATTATTATTGTTGCAGTGTGATTATTATCATCATTATTATTTTATTATTTTTATTTTTGTATTTTTTATTATAAATTTTACATACCCCGTATCTGAATTATTATTATTATTATTATTTTTATTTTTATTTTTATTATTACCGGTAGTATATTTTCGCCCCCCAGGCCCTGATGTGGGTCAGTGACCTGTGCCCGGGTGGGCTAATCCCCGTAAAAAAAAATGAGAAAAACACACAACACATGAGCCACCACCTACTGTAATTACCTTTTGAAAAAGGGTTTTCATAGTGTAAATCATCATGTTAAATACAAATATGACCTTCATTGCCGTCAGAAATAAGCAGTACGTAGTTGAGGTATTGAAAAATAAGTGGAAGGTCAAACAATGGAAAAACCTCAAAATCTAAAAAAATCTAACCTAACCTAACCTTCCTAGTGTGTAAGAAACTTACCCAAAGTAAGAGATACAGGGGGATAGAGTGATGTGACTTGAATGAGGAGCTGGTCCTTATACTTGTATAATATGGAGTTAAATATTTCCTCTTTTCATGGTCTGAAGCAATTTTTATGAAAGTTGCACATAATATAGCAGCTGCTTTACAAAACACATTAACTACACCAATACCACCTTGTTTGACAGGTAAATACAGAGTTTGTCTTTTAATTGGCTGATACATACCACTCCATATGTATTTAAAAATACATGATTCAATTTTCTGTGAGTACATTTTATTTAATGGAAATGTATGGGATAGGTACCATACCTTGGACAAAACTTTTGAGTTCACAATAATTGCTTTTTGGTACAAGGATAATTTTCTTTTTGATAAACAATTTACAGTAATGCTGATATTTTCCAAGATTTTGTTCCAATTCATATTAACAGTGTGTTCGTAATTTTCATAATATATAGTGCCTAAAATTCTGGAATATTCTGCTGATCTCATCCACAGCACAGGCCATAAATCTCTCTTCTTCCACTCACCCAAGCCCATAATACTTGTTTTATATTTGTTTAATTTAGCACCTGTTGCTGCTTCAAACCTTTCTATTTCTCTGCTAACCTCAATTATGGACTGGTTAGTGACAACAAAGAAATTGTAGAATCATCAGCATATCCCAGTCTGGGAATTTTTATGTTGTTTGGTATCACTCAGCTTTTTGACACATAAAAGTTGGTGTGTTGCTCCTTTGGGGAGATGATTTTTTCATTTCTGGGATTTACCAGTTTGAAAAACTTCATGACAACAAAAATATCCCCAAGGATTCCTGTAAAGCTGTTTACTTCCAAAATGATAAATGGTTGGTGAGAGAAATCTCAACTTGCATTACAAAAACTCAGACTTTTATCATGTGTCAAAAAGCTACAAAATGGATTTCTCACCAACCATTTATCACAGTGTACAAAAATTAAAGTTAGATTTCTCTCACCAACTTTTATTGTGTCTGGATTTTTCTCACCAACTTTTATCATTATACAGCTGAGTTTTTTATAATGATATAATGTATAATTTACAGTTTCATTCAACCTGAGTTTAGAACAATATACAGCTAGACCCCGACTTACGACGGGGTTAGGGACCCAAATCCAGGTCGTAAGTCCGACAAAAAAAAAAAAAATAAATAAATAGAAAATCTACAATGAAATACAGTACAGTAAAAGTAATAAATAATGAGGAATGGATACAGTGTGACTGAGCACTTACCTTTAATGTAGTCACTTGAATGCACATGGGGCCCCCATAATTTTCTAATTATACATGGAGACTACATTAACTGGAAACGTTTTGGTATAGAAAATGCGTGTGTCATTTGGAAAAAAAAAGCGTTCCCTAGTCCCACCCAGTAGGTCGAGGGTTCGATTCCTTGCTGGTGAGGTCGTTGATTATATGTTCAAAGTCTGCGTGTTATATGGACTAAAAATGAAGTATATATATGTACCTCGCGTTTCATATACCAGCTGGATTCGGTAAAATGCTACTGACACCACATAAGAGGCACGGGCAGTTTCCCAATGAGGTTCACGGCGCCATCAGCTCGATGAATAGGCTTTGTGTGAAATATAACAGAGTCTAGAACTGCTTTTAGTGTCCTTGTGGCCTAGCCGGTAAGCGTTCCCTAGTCCCACCCAGTAGGTCGAGGGTTCGATTCTTGTCCACGTGTTATATGGACTAAAAATGAAGTATATATATATATATATATATATATATATATATATATATATATATATATATATATATATATATATATATATATATATACATACATACATACATACATACATACATAAAGTATATATATCACACACACACATACAGTCGGCCCTTAACATACGCTGGGGTTAGGTAACAGAGATACCCGTGAATGTTAAAAATCCGTGTACTATTGCTAACCCCCCCCCCTAAAAAATCCCTGGCCCCCCATGTCCTTATTTACCGTATATACCTGTGTATAGTTTGAGTTTTTAAGACCAAATTATTTGACAAAAATTGGGGGTCGACCTCTAAACGGGTAATAGTTTCGTTAGGTTGAAAAATATTTACCAGTAACTACCAGTAAACAATGGAAACGACCCACCAACGCACCATCAGCTGTGAGTGTCGGTACAGTCGCCAGGGCAGATCTCTTGCGTCATCATAGCTAGCCCAAAGTAGCCAAATGCATGGTATGGTATACACAGGACGATGTAAAACATAAAGTATTCATTTTTTAAAGTTTATTTATAGATACTGTCCATAAATTTTTGTTCATTACATTTGAAACATCAATCTTTGTTAATTAAATTTGATACAAAAGAAAACTACGATACCGCATTTTCATTAAAATATTACATCACAAGTATATTTTACCTTAACTGTGACTGAATGAATATATTCTCAGAAATAAATATGGAAATGTAATATTTTGGCTGAAATGACGTACATATTACTGTACAATGGAAAGTGGGATAAAATTATGAAAACAATGACTTTCGCTTTCTTTCGTTGTTCAAAAGATTTTACCGTAATCGCTTTTCGAATGGTTTTCAGTTAAAAAACTGTTGTACTGTACTCGTACTGTATTACAATAATAATCTATCTTATCATTAGCCTTATAATCCCACAACTGAAAACCATTCGAAAAGCTATTACGGCAACATCTTTTGAACGAAAGAAAGAGAGAGAGTCATTGCTTGCGTCACAAGTTTATCCCACTTTCCACTGTAATACGTACATCATTTCAGCAAAAATATTACATTTCTATGTTCTCAGAAATAAATCTTAGTTTTGTTGAAACGTAATGTACAGTATTTAATATTAAAATGCAAAAATAGCTATAAAAACAATTAATACACCCGAAATATATTGGCTGGCATCTCCACTCGTCCCTGCTCCTGCGTCCAAGGTCACCTCACCACTCCTCCCAACTCGCTCCCTCCCCTCCCTCCGCACCGTCACTACTGCCGACAACAAACACAAATGCTTTGTGAATAACTGCACCTCCACTTCCTATGTACAGCACTTGTACTGAACTGTACTGTGCTGTGCATTTTTACAAACAATAAACATGGCAAGAAAAGATATTAAAAAAAGAGATAAGAATTTCACTTTACTGTACCGTACCTCTCCTCGGCGACAGGGCGGGGATCATCGGGCTCATCGCCACTCAATTCCATAACAGGTGGTGAAGTGGGGGCGACTGTGGGTTCAGCTGCTTCCTCACTGTCGCCAGTGATTGATGGTGTTAAATCTCTCCTTCGGTGATCAAAGAACATGGTGATGGGGAGTTGTCGTCTCTTTCTTTCATTTCTTCCATGAAGTTTTTGTATGGAGCGAAAACGTCATCCATCCCTCGCATGAATTTCAGGGCGCGCACCATGGAGGGGTCCATACTATAGGCCAGGTTTTTCAGTGCCTCAATATTCCTGGTCATCTCCCCCAACTTCTCCAACGTTATTTCTTGGTGCTCTTCCTCATCCTCTTTCCCTTTCGCTTCCTCTTCCTTGCCTGAGTCTACTAACTCCTGTAGATTCTCCTCGGTCAGCTCAGTGTCGTGCTCTTCAATTAGCTCCCTAATCTCGTCCTCTGCCATGTCCCGGAAGCCTTCAGCAGCCACTATCCTTGACAGTGCCAGGGTCTTTCTGAATATTTTCATTAAAACCCATCAAAATCATTTTCCTTGTCATCGTCTTAAGCACCAAACAGCTCCTCCCAGTCTTCTCCTTGAACAGGGCTAGAGGGTACGTGTTTTTCGAATCGTTTTAAATTAAAAAAATGTTACAGCACATGCATATTTTACCTAAACTGTGCCTGAATGAATATATTCTCAGAGATAAATAGTAGTTTTGCTGAAACGTGATGTATTTCAATGTAAAATAGGATAAAATACATGACGAAAACAAAAGACTTTACCTAACCTTCGAATGTTCAAGAGATGTTACTCGTTTTTTTAATAGTTTTCGGTTAAAATACTGTTATATTACAATGATATTATATTCATACTGTGCTTGATATACTACATTCACGGAAATGTAATATTTTTGCTGAAATGACGTACGTATTACAGTGGAAAGTGACGAAAACAATGACTTTCGCTTTCTTTCGTTCAAAAGATGTTACCGTAATCGCTTTTCGAATGGTTTTCAGTTAAAAAAACTGTTGCATCACAAGTGAATTAGGATAGAATATTATTGTAATACAACAGTTTTTTAACTGAAAACCATTCGAAAAGCGATTACGGTAACATCTTTTGAACGAAAGAAAGCGAGTCATTGCTTTCGTCACTTTCCACTGTAATACGTACGTCATTTCAGCAAAATATTACATTTCCATATTCTCAGAAATAAATAGTAGTTTTGCTGAAACGTAATGCATTTCAATGTAAATTAGGATAAACTACATGAAAACAAAAGACTTTACCTAGCCTTCCGATGTTCAAGATATGTTACTCGTTTTTTTAGTAGTTTTCGGTTAAAATACTCTTATATTAGTGATATTCTATTCATACTGTGCTTGATATAATACATTCACGGAAATGTAATATTTTTGCAACTACAATGCTGATGTCAACACAAGCGTGGTTACAGCGAGACTGACTGAGTGAGGGAGAGCTATGCGTGTGTGTGTGAGGTTGCGGGAGCGGGCGGTGTCCCGTGTTCGGTGCGCGAGTTGAATGGCGCGCGATTTGAATGTACTTCAATTACTTCAATGTACAGAATATTCCTCCGGCGGGGCAATCCGCGTATTTGCGAATCCGTGAATGCTAAACCCGCGTATGTGAAGGGCCGACTGTGTGTGTGTGTGTATGTATATATATATATATATATATATATATATATATATATATATATATATATATATATATATATATATATATATATATATATATATATATATATATATATATATATATATATAATTTTTTTTTTTTTTCTAAGCTCAGGTTGAATGATCCAGCATTCTTAAATACTGTACTGTGGTTACTGCCTCACTCCATACAGGTATAGTCTACCTCTCCCCTTTCTACCATCAAATGTATTATAGTGTACTATAATGTATTACAGTATTAATGTTCTTTGTCAAATAATATATATTTTTTCTTTTTCCCCATGTTTATTTTAGCTCGTGGTCGAAGAGTAGCAAGTGACAACCCATCGTCAACTTTAGGTGGAGGAGACATGCAAGAAAATATGTATGATCAGTACGGGCAACCTCGGCAACAACAGGCACCGCCCCAACTCTTTGAAGATACAAGTGGGCAAAATTATGACTATGGAAACCAAGGTAACAAGTTCAGTACACTGTTTTAATTTATGAGATATTGTAACCAAGGACAGTACATACAGTAAATGAATTGTAGATGATGTTTTGAGGGGATTGGGTATCTATCGTTTGTTTTATACGATTGTGTAATTGGTTCATATTTTTACATAGAATTTGTTAGGTTTCAATTACAAATTAGAGAACCTTACTACCACTCCTGTTGTTGTCAGTACAGTACAGTATTTACTTCTGGGTTTTTATACTCGGGTTAAGGAATAATGTTTCTTTAGTTACGGAGATGGCCGAGGAAAATTTGTACTTTAGTTGGATTTTGTTCTGGTCAGTGGTACTGTACTGTTAATTTGTTGTTATATTATAATCTTCATGATTAATTAACTGATTACAAAATTGTGGTTAGTGATGTAGGCTGGTCAGTAAGTTAGCCCTCCTTAGCATTGCTTTGATTAAGTTTCCATAATGAGAGGTTGATGTATTCATTTAAAAAGATTTAATGGTAATTATGAGATCGTCACTGGCAGTCCTATTATGTTCAGGAAATAAACAAAGGAATAAGTTTTTACGTGCATAGAGATTCCATAATACATTTTCAGTAACTCTGGATGAAAAAAATTTTCTTGTGAATATTAAAATGACTCCACACTGTACCACATGTGGTATATTGGGAGTAAGAATGAAATTAAGCACAGTACAAGGGGTCCCCGGGCTCTGAATGAGTTCCGTTTCTGAGGATGTCCTTAAGTCGGAAATGTACGTAAGTCGGAACACATACCATATGTGCACTACTGGGGGTCCCCGACTTACAAACATCCAACTTACGAATGCCCGCCAATACAAACGGGGTTAAACTTGAAATTTACAGAACAGCATGCCCTTAAAATTCTCGGGGTTAGGTTCTCAAAATGGCCGCGAATAGTCAAATCTGTGAATAACATTTACTGACCAAGGGAGGAGGGTACATTTTCACCCGTGTGCAAAGAAATGTATACAGTATTTCCTTTATGTATTTGCCCTTAGGACAATTATTTCTTCTACCTGTATTATAATGCTGGTATGTGTTTGTGTGTGTGTGTAGACACACATACACGAAACACATACAAATACTGAAAGTAATAATGGGAAAATCCTCTCACGAATAATCAGAAACAAGACAACAAAATGTATTAAAAATGTTAGGGTCTATCCTCAAGTTAACTCTGTGCTTTGTTGTAACTTTAATAACAAATACAATTTTGTTTTGTTTCTGATTACTTGTGAGAGGATTTTCCCATTATTACTTATTTGTATGTATTTTGTGTGTGTGTCTACACACACACATAAACAATACAGGTAAAAGAAATTACAGTGATATCTCCGTTAGCCAGAATCCCTCAAACACGGAACTCTCCGATAGCCGGAATTGAAATTTTCCCAGGGGCACATTTTTGGAAAATTCCGAGAAAATTATCCTGATACCCGGAAAATTCTGGGGATGAGGGAATTTTTTTCCGGGTTCGAGAGATGATGTAATGGGCAATTTCTGGAACTTCCGTTACCCGGAAAATTCCAGGGATGAGAGATATTTTTCTTGGTTCCAGAGAAGATGTGATGGGTAATTTCTGGAATTTCTGAGAAAATTTTTCTGTTACCCGGAAAATGACCTGGGATGAGGGATTTTTTTCCCGGCTTTGAGAGAGTCGTCTCGTTACCCGGAAATCACTCATTCCCGGAAGTGCTCTGCGCCAATTGTTCTGGCTAACGGAGATATCACTGTACTGTCTAGAACAAATGGCTCCCTGTCCCGGCTGTGAAATTACCAGCTACTTTAAAACTACTCTTAGACATTCTTGGGTACATCCAGCGTGTCATCCGTGAATAATCGAGGTCCGCGAATTTTAAGGGCATGCTGTATTTTATTTACCCGATGACTTATTTTTTTACTTTCATTTCCTATATTTTGTCATTTTATTTCTTACGTTGTCTTAAATTAAGTGATTTTAGATGTATATAAGGACTTAGGCTATGATATAGTGGGATTTTCAACATTGTTCTGTAAGTACGGTATGCACATCACATGTGTTCCGACTTACGTACAAATCCGACTTAAGAACGTCCTCAGGAACGGAACCTGTAAGTAACCCGGGGACCCCCTGTATATCATAGCCTAAGTCCTTTTATACATCTCAAATCAATAATTTAAGAGAAAAGAAGAAATTGAATGACAAAATACAGTAAAGGAATCTCGAAATTAAAGTTTAAAACTTAATTTGAAACCTGGGACTGGCTTGGATGTGGAGATGGGCATTTATAGGAGTGACAGAGGCTTTATTGGGATGATTAAACTGAAACTTTCTTCTTTTTTGTCATAAATCTTTCTGTAGCATCGTAGACATTCGGTTATACTTCTGTGAATCTTGGTGAATCTTTGATGTGCTGATATCTTGCTGTTAAAATTTAAACAATCCTTCTCCAATAAGCTTAAAACCGCCTGCCATTTCTTTTGTAACGAGTCGCTTTGGTTCTGGAGTTTGAGCTTCCTCTACATCCTCTGACAAAATTTGCTTCTCCAGTTCAATCAGGTCCTCATTGCTTAATTATTCAGCATGAGACTCAAGCAACTGTGTGACATCATCCTCCTGAATATCAAGCTGGAGTTGATTCCCAAGGTCTACCACTTTCTGTGTCACTTCCCCAACATCATTTTCAAAGCCCCGAAATTGGGAACAAACTGTGGGCAGTGTTTTTTTCAAACACTCTATTTGCCCTTGCCTTGAACTGATTAAACCAGCTCCTACTTGCAACAAAATCTTCCCCATCACTTTCACCAACACATTTAGCCTTCACGTCAGCGTGCAAGCTTCTCGCTTTTTCTTGAATCAAGGTTAGTCTTACGAAGCAAATGCCGTTGATTTTGATCTTCTACCCATATCACTAACAATCTTTTCATTTCAATTAACAATCCATTTCTTTGTTTTGTTACAGTTGAGTGCATTGGTGTAGATCCTTTTACATATTCAAGAATTTTCTGTTTGTCTTTCAAAATTGTTCCGATCGTTGACAGACTGAAGCCCAACGCTTTACAAACGACTGAGGGTGTTTAGTCTTTTTCAGAAAGTTTAATTACATCAACTTTTACTTCCATTGTACAGTAATTTCCATTTCTTGGATGCATTTGCATCAGGTTTGCACTTGGGAGCCATGATGAGGGCAGAAAAAGAGTTAATAAGCAAAAAACAACAGTTTGTACTTGATCACGCAGGTTATTGTGGTGAGGGTAAAGTCTACTGACACTCCTTCAAGGCGTGTGGCTGGATGATGCATCACTCTCCACCCGCCACTCCACCTTGCCTGTACGCCACGCAAACTACCGTATTTTATGGCTTATAAGACGCACTGCCATATAAGATGCATGGCCATATAAGATGCATGGCCATATAAGATGCATGGCCATATAAGATGCATGGCCATATAAGACGCACTGCCATATAAGACGCATGGCCATATAAGATGCATGGCCATATAAGATGCATGGCCATATAAGATGCATGGCCATATAAGAGATGCATGGCCATATAAGATGCATGGCCATATAAGATGCATGGCCATATAAGACGCACTGCCATATAAGACGCATGGCCATATAAGATGCATGGCCATATAAGATGCATGGCCATATAAGATGCATGGCCATATAAGATGCATGGCCATACACTACCATATAAGGCAGCATGGCCATATAAGATGCATGGCCATATAAGATGCATAGCCATATAAGATCACATGGCCATATAAGATGCATATTATATAGATGCATGGCCATATAAGACCTTACTGCCATATAAGGCGCATGGCCATATAAGATACATATTACATATAAGATACATGTGCATATAAGATGCATGTGCATATAAGATGCATGTATATAAGATGCATAGCCATATAAGGCGCACTAACCATATAGGCATGGCCATATAAGATGCATGGCCATATAAGATGCGTAACCATATAAATGCATAGCCATATAAGATGCATGGCCATATAAGATGCATGTATATAAGACGCACTGCCATATAAAGCGCGTAGCCATATAAGATGCGCCAGCCCGTATAAGATGCATGTAGCCATATAAGATGCATGGCCATATAAGATGCATGGCCATATAAGATGCGTAGCCGCCGTAAGACCTGCCATATAAGACGCATGGCCATATAAGATGCATAGCCATATAAGACGCATGGCCATATGAATGCGCCATATAAGACGCATGGCCATATAAGATGCATGGCCATATAAGACGCATGGCCATATAAGATACGCCAGCCATATAAGACGCCGCCAGCCATATAAGATGCATAGCCATATAAGACGCATGGCCATATAAGACGCACCCATGGCCATATAAGACCTTATAGCCATATAAAAGATGCATGGCCATATAAGACGCATGGCCATATAAGATGCATAGCCATATAAGACGCATGGCCATATAAGATGCATGGCCATATAAGACGCATGGCCATATAAGATGCATGGCCATATAAGACGCATGGCCATATAAGATGCATGGCCATATAAGACGCATGGCCATATAAGATGCATGGCCATATAAGACGCATGGCCATATAAGATGCATGGCCATATAAGACGCATGGCCATATAAGATGCATGGCCATATAAGACGCATGGCCATATAAGACGCATGGCCATATAAGACGCATGGCCATATAAGATGCATGGCCATATAAGACCGCATAGCCATATAAGATGCATGGCCATATATAAGACCCTTTATGGCCATATAAGATGCATGGCCATATAAAGATGCACATGGCCATATAAGACACATGGCCATATAAGACACATGGCCATATAAGTTGCATGGCCATATAAGATGCATGGCCATATAAGATGCATGGCCATATAAGATGCATGGCCATATAAGACGCATGGTCATATAAGATGCATGGCCATATAAGACGCATGGCCATATAAGACGCATGGCCATATAAGATGCATGGCCATATAAGATGCATGGCCATATAAGATGCATGGCCATATAAGACGCATGGCCATATAAGACGCATGGCCATATAAGATGCATGGCCATATAAGATGCATGGCCATATAAGATGCATGGCCATATAAGATGCATGGCCATATAAGACGCATGGTCATATAAGACGCGCCCCCCATTTTAGCAGGGAGTATTTAGGAAAAAACTTTTGTGTGTATTTCCTTCCTGTTGCCATAGTTTTTTTTAACAATACTTGTATATACACTACCAATAAGTGTGAGGAATAAACAAAAATATCAATAAATAGCTGTAAGTTACAAAAAAAAATACTGTATTGCGAAACCAGTAAACAAAAGACAAACGAAAGTTTAGCACAGTTGCCATTTGCATATACAGTATATCTGTACTCCCTGTTTACCATAGCAATGGCGACGCTACCTCCGCCGATTATCTAGCAACTCCCCACCAGCAACTGCCTAGCCATCCTCCTGCTTCCCTACTAACCCAGCTAACTCGTGTGCAAAGAAATGTACATTCATTTTATGTGTTTGCTCTTAGGACAATTATTTCTTTTACTTTTTTCATAATATGTCTGTAGAAGGGTGTGTCCATATACAGTGAGTTCTGCTACAACGCGTGTTTTGATAACGCGAATTTGCTCTAACGCGATTTATGAATTAGGAACGATATTTGTATAACGCGAACGCTTGTTTGCTATAACGCGATTTTTGCTTACTATTTCTCCAATTTTGTGGTACAGTGGGGTATGCTATAACGAATCTAATTGGTTCTAGAACCTTGTTTGTTATAGCATTCGTTCGTTATAGGATTAATCCGTTCCAGGCCCCCAAATACAACCACTTAACACTGAAAAATATAATATAAAATTGTAAAAATTGTAAAAAAGTGCATAAATATGCATCTAAACCCCTGAAATAAAGAAGATCATTAATATTTGTAATAAAAAAACAATAAATTAGAAAAAGAAAAAATTAAATAATGTTCGTTGTAGGAGTTTCGTTCGTTATAGCATTCTCAATTTTATAGGTGAAACCGTTCGTTATAGGAATATTCGTAGTAGGATCCATTCGTTATAGCATACCCCACTGTATTAACTGTGAATATAGTTAAGAAGAATATCAACAAGAAGCGTTCTGGTGATAGAATTCCCGGTGATGATCGTAAAAGAAAGGATATAACACTTGAAGAGAAGCTCGGTGTTATCAACCTCAAAATCACCCTTCTCCCTCATCAAGTTATATTCATATTTTTTCAAGGTAAAGTGTTACATTTACTGTATGATTTCATTATTAGATATGAATGTAACATTTATTTAGACTGTGCTATCCTTTGTGTTAGGCTAACTACTAAATTTTTTTCGATTTCGAGTAGTAATCTGCACCTAACCCTATTTTCTCCATAAGCCCTGTTATTTCTATTACGCGATTTTCTATAACACGATATTTTACAAGAACACAATTATCGCGTTATAGCAGAACTACCTGTATGTCAGTAAAAGTAAATGAAGAAAGTTACGTATATCTACCCAAAATTATGAGTTGTAAAACAACAGCCTGGCCCAGTAGCCTGTTGGTTATGGTGACGACTCTAACCTGGCTACAATGCTGCCAGCGATGTTAACAGATGTAAATGTGAAAAGAAAGTTATCTGTAAATCTTCATTTGTTTCAGGTATTTATAGATTAAAAAATAAATGTTGCAGGTATGGCATTAATTGATTGTAATGCTTGTAAGAGTTTAGAAATGGTTATTGCTTAGTTACCTCTGAAGAGTTGGGTGTCTTCCGTATGGATGTTAATTGTCTCAGGTTATCATCATTAGTACACTACAGAGAAGTAACAGATGACCTTTTATATTTACCATAATTATTTTTTAATTAATTAAAATAATAATACCTGTGATGTTTAAGTAAGCAATAACATATTTTTAATTTTAGAGTTGGGTTAGGTAGAATTTAGCCTGCTGGAGACAGCAATGGGGGGAACATCAGCTTGGGGGAGACTGCAACTTCACATATAGCATGCAGGCTGATATTTTTAGCCATTTTTCGGACAAAAAAAATGTCTTGTCTTGTAAAATACGGCTGTTCTCGTACGTAAATTCTACGAACCAGTTGTACTTATATTGGATTCTTAAAATAATTGACCTTATGGAACCTCATTCATTTTGGCGGGTGTTCGTAAGTCGGGGACCCAATGTATGTGAAATAACCTTTTGGTAATAAATATGTTCATGTTAAATATTTGAGGGGTAGCAAATTATTAGTTGACTTTCTCACCCACTTCCATTGATGCAGTTTATGTCCCATTCTTGGTGACTCCTATATTTATATGGACAGTACACCTTTACAGGATATGGTGGCATGAACTATGGGTACCCACCTCCTGGACAACCAAACCAGGGGGCTAGTGGAGGCTATGGAGCCTACCCAGGAGCTATTCCAGGACCACAGATATTCCAAGTCAGTACAGTATTTATTTTATTTATACATTATATTGATTTATTCAGTTTTAATGTTAATACTGTGGGATCATCAGGAAAAATTAATCTATACAGTATGAGTATTGTCTTTATATAGAGTATGTTCTGTAATATCCTAAATAAAATGGACCTCTTTATTACTGGATGTAGTGGTAAGAGTTGAAAGCAAGAGATTAGAGAGAGGACTACAAGTTTGGTGAAAAATAATGATGGGTACTTATGGAATGTGAGTCAGCTGGTGTTTCCTGATACTTGTGCTGAAGTGGGAAAATTAGATGAAAACCTGTAATTATCTGGTGGTTGATGTGTTAACAAAGGGAATAATGGATTGAACCAAAGAAATATATGCATAGAGAGAGAGTGATCAAAATGGGTGTGGATCCAGGAATATTACTTTTTACAATACAAAATACCTGAGTACAATACTGCATTAAGAAAAAGTATTGGAATTTTCTGATGAAAAGGGGGGGCCCGGACCCCCAGAATCCCCCTGGATCCACCCCTGCAGAAGAGGCAAGCATATGGGTTTATAGAGAAATTGTTCACCAGGCATTCTTTTATGGTTATGAACCTTAGGCACTCTATATGCAAAAGGAAGAAGCACATTCGAAGCAAGAGATAGGATATACTTGATAACACAATGTATGGAGTGAAAAGGACTTTGGGAATAAGAAATACAAAAATAAGAAATGGGAAAATTCAAGAAGAGTCCTGACTGAGCAGAATATGATGGATAAATTTTGTCATAGGAGACCGTAGTTGAACTCATAATAGATTATAACATTATTTTATTTATTTATTTTATGCAGGACCCTCTGGTGGCTAATATGGCAATGCAGTATGGACAGTCTCTAGCTAGTCAGGGCCGGGAGTATGTGGACAAAAAACTGGAGAAGTATGTCAGCATGAGTCAAGTCAAGTATTATTTTGCAGTGGATACACCGTATGTAATGAAGAAACTCCGACTGCTCTTCTTTCCATTTACACATTCGGTGAGTTACAGGGTGAAACAGAAGTGTATTTTATGAGTTGTTTTTTTCTAAATGAACACCACTTTGCAGGTTCTTCATATTGCCAGTGTTTTATTTTTCTGTGGTTTGTTATTCTAGTCGTAGATGTTAGTTTTGTATACTCAAATAAAGGCGTCATGGTGATGTTCTTGAATGAAAATAATACAAGATTTAGCCTAAATATCCAGTTAGAACAGTTTTAGATGCAGGTACCTTCACTACATATAGCCTGTGAGTAAGTACAGTATAGTCTGCATTTACGCGGTCAATTGAACCCGTGGAGGTCCGCGTAAAACGAGAAACGCTTAAACGAAATAACAGAACATGTGGGATTAATTACAGGTAGTAGGTATTAGGCAGCTACCAAACAGGGAGGTACTACCGCCTGGGAAGATATTGGAAGCATAATGTGTTGTCTATGGTAGACCCTGCTGCTATATGGCATCACGAAAATTGTGACCAAGTCCCAGGTTGCTGATCTGACTTTTTGCCTCATTTACACACAATTGCAGGGTCTCAATTGTTTCTCTTACTATTGACAACACAACATATATACTGTATATTGTTTCTCACTAATTTTTTTTTCAATTTGTATTTCTTTATGGTTCTTTATTATTATTATTATTATTATTATTATTATTATTATTATTATTATTATTATTATTATTATTATTATTATTATTATTATATTTTCGCCCCCTTGGCCCTGATGTGGGTCAGTGACCTGTGCCTGGGTGGGCTAATCCCCGTAAAAAAAAAAAAAAATTGAAATAGAGACTGGGCCGACTCCCAAACTCCACTTTTTCCGACACAGTATGTACCTTGTAGTAAAAATAACATCATAATTTTATTATGGTATTTACACACACAGTATCTAAATAAAAAACTACAAATATAAAGGTGTTGAACACTTACGTTAGTAGAAGCGATGGGTCGGCACACGTGGATGGAGGCTGGTTCCGAGGCAGAGGGCAGATTAGTTGCCCTCCGGTGAATCACTTTCACTACTCGCAGAGGTTTGCAGGGCCTCCCAGACAAAACCCTCAAAGTCCATATCCTCACTGTCACTATCACTGACTTGGGCTGGCTGTGGTTGTGGTGGGTTGCGGGCAAAGCAGTCCTTAATACTATGTTGACGACTAGCATGGATGTTGTCGAGATACATCTGGATATACGGCTCCATAACTTTCAACAGATGGTTATTAGACACTTCATACTGATGCTTGTGTGGGTCGTTGTCAAAGATGAGCTTAATTTTCTCCCCCAACTCGATGATTTCTTTCACATAATCATGGCTTGGTCCAGGTAATTCAAGGTTTTTCTGGGGTGGTGGGGGTCCAGCGGAAGCCATTGTGAGGGGAATAGCGGGCACAAGAGAGAACTGTATACGCGGACTGAGAACAATGAGACTGGCCCGGCTAGGTCAGCGACTTCTGGTGGCAGGGCACGTTATGTTACATTAGACCATTACATTAGACAGCTAGCGGCGGAGGGAATGCGTGGGTGGTAAGGATGCGTGGCTCAATCACAGTCTGATACGCCATATGACGTCAGCGATAACATAAGAGCAACCTAATGTTCACCCCTCACCGCGCTGCTTCCCGCGTATGGTCAAGAATGGATCACGTGAGTAAAAAATGACGCGGCGCGTCTGGACCTCTCCAGCCGCTCGCCGCGTAAATGATGAAATGTACCGCGTAATTAAAACATTTCATTCTGGCAAGGCACCGCGTAAATGACCAAACGCGTAAACAAAAACCGCTTAAATCCAGACTATACTGTATCTTGTGTGAACTACTACATTAAGTCACATTCTTCATGCCGTACACATTGGCCTGCAGTTTTTAATTGCACAGGCTGTGCATTTTGTGTATGTTGTCAGGGATTTGAATAAAGACTTGGGTGTAAAGTAAATGCAGTGTGTTTTAGATTTTGCCAAAATTTTATCATTCATTTTGTTACGCCTAACGTAATTAAGAGAATACTGTATGGTTGACATTTTTTGTGTGTTCAAAATAGGATTAACTCAATTTGTACCTATCTTTAAATCTTTCCCCTTTGTTTGCCTCAAGAATATACCTGTATATTGTTCAGTGTGGGTTGAATTTGTTTATAATACAGACTAGATTGTTGTGATGGAAAGAAGTCACCAATCTATTTAGAGGTTGATGTCATACGAGACCTTAGATTAACATGAATTGGTTGTGATAAATCTTTACATGTGTAAAGGATTGGAGTGTGCGGTATGAGCAGGATGAGCCGGTGCAGCCCCGTCATGAGATCAATGCCCCTGACCTCTATATTCCCTTGATGGCTGTAGTGACGTATATCTTAGTGGCTGGACTCTGCTTGGGACTACAGGAAAGGTGGGTTGTATAACTGCATACATATTATTTTTGTGATTGTTAATAGCTTAGCGGAAATTTCTTAATATGTACTGTACTTTGAGTTTTATTAAATTAGTCTATTATATATATATATATATATATATATATATATATATATATATATATATATATATATATATATATATATATATATATATATATATATATATATATATATATATATATATATATATATATATCTTGATAAAATCACACGGGAAAATGGAATCAACGGAGTACCTTAGCTTTCGTCTTTATTCAAGACATCTTGCATAAGTTTAAACTTGCCATATTAAGAGATTCCAGTAAGGGTATGTTTTCAAGTTTTACTTACTACATGCTTGAACAGTAGATATTGGTTGGTTCTGAGTGACGCCTCCACTGCCAGTATCAAATTCCACTATTTTCTTTTTAAATACGATTAGATAGCCTGGGATATTTTATGGAAAGTGATAAATATACTTCATATTATGTAAGATAGTAACCTGGAGAGATTCCTTTTATTCATCAAGTTAAACTTAGGTTCTAGAGCTATTGATGCACTGTACCAACCTGCTTTTACTGTATATGGTCTCTTGAATACCTTTTACATATATGAATGTGCTCATTATCCTTTGTAATATTTTACAGCAGAGTGAGTCATGCAGAATCTTTCTTAATGTCAATGGTTCTTGCAGGCAGTGTTACTTTAATAAACAGTTGCTCATTGTAATTGCCCTTCTGCTGACTTTGAAGAATGGTGGATAATGTTGTCTGTTTTGTATGTGCATGTCTCGGTCTTTTCATATTGCTTTGGGAAATACTGTATGCTGTTTATACTTAATTTACTTTTTCTGTGTATGGTAATTGTTTCAATTTGAAAATCTTCACCTATACTCATAATCAAATTTTGTCCATGTGTGAAATGATGAGATGTAGACATGTTACAAGTGTTGGACAAACTGGATAAGGTGTACTGAGGTTGTATGAATGTATTGAGAGATTGGGGAGTGAAAGATATGTCAACAGAATGTATAATTCAGGAATGGATGGTAATAGGGAGACAGGGAACCAAAAAGGATGTACTGTAGAAAGAAAAGGGTGAATGATGCATTAAATGTGAATGGGATAGATAACCAGGAAGCAGAAGAGTCCTTGAATGACATAGGAGTGTTGAATTTAGTGGGTTAATGGGATGGATGGATGATGTGAAGTTGTATGAAGCAGTAGGAATAAACCAAATAGGTTTTTTTAAGAGAACGCCATCACAAAGCTCACCTGTTACAGCAGTAAGTGATAATTGATCACTAAAATATTTGGGGTCTAGGAGTAATTGATAACCAAGATGTGTGAGAAAGGTTCTGCATGCATTGCGCTGTTATTTTAGTAGAAAGGAAATGGCATTCATATGATACAATTAATTGACATTATGTTCTTTGGAGTATACATTATGTTTCTTCTGAGTTCTTCATATTGTAAGTCAAGGCATGAATAATGTAAAGTTCAGTTGCTCGCACATGTAATGTTCCTCACCTCACAGGCTACTCAGTACATGTGGCAACACTGCAGTGATACTCAAAGTTCCCCACTCCATCCCCCCCAACCATCCCCAGTTGGGTACCTTGACTATCTTTGCAGAGTTGCCACATGTACCGAGTCATGTGTGAGGTGAGGAACAATACATATGTGAGCAACTGTACATTTATTTACATCATAAAGGTAATCTGTTAATTTTGTGTACAGTTGCTGGGACTGCGACCTGAAGTACACCAGGTAAACTTGTAGTACTGTATCTGTTCTCCTCTCCTGGTTAATACATTTTTGAGATTGATGTCCCCTGTTTGTAATGAATTTGTTCTTATATATTCTTGAGGAGTGAAAATATCCCAAACTTAAACCTCACATCAGATGTCAATATTGTCTGTGAATCTGTATGTTTTGTTAAAAATGTATGTCCACTGGGAGTTTTGAAGTGTTCACAGTATAGACCTGTTTTAACTAACTCCAGTACAGTACAGGTATTTCATAATCAGCCTAAAACTTGTAATCTAACAATAAGATTTATTAACAGTTTTAAACTTTTGAACTTAAATAAATATTTTGTTGCTTGAAACCTACTAATATTATTTTAACTTGGTAACTATTTTTTTACCTAGTATTTTTAGGTTACTTACTGTAGTCACCTGGTGTGTGTAATGTAGCAGCTTTGTAACCACTTGTAATATGCATTTTCCTAACAAGTGTATGAATAGAATAATTAGAAACGTTTATTCTATTATTAATCTTACAGAAACTTCCTCCATTGTTGTATTAGGGAAAGTGTTTTTTTTTGTGATTTTACTTATACTGTACAGTATATTGACATAGTAAACATACTGAGAGGAGATAATTATTTTAAGAACTTTTGCAGTTGGTTTGCTTGCCTCTTTGAGTGTGCTGGCTGTCAACTGCTCAAATTATTACGGCCATAGCATTGTTTCTGGTGGTGTAGTAGGGAGTGGAGTGACCCATGTGGTGTTATATGGTACGGTAGTATTGGGTCATGGAGTCGACCCATGGCATGCCTCTTTGGTGTTTATATCTTCTGTCATCATCTCTAGGTTGTAGGACATCTTTTTCTTGTCATTAAGCAGTCATTTGGTCATTGGCGTGTGATGTGATGTGCGTTTGAAAACCTTAAACACGTTGAGAATTAGACATCGTATATGCAAGGTTTTGTGGGCGGTTGTATAATTTTTACACCCGGAAATGCAGCTTAAACCTTCTTCATTTGAGTAGTCAGCTCTTATGCATATACAGTATAAAAAACTGTGAAATTAATACTCACCACTGCATAGATGTGTATGTTGCTCAGAAGATACTTTATTGTTCATTATTGAAAAGTACCTGTATATAAATACTGATTTTGGAATCGAGTAATGTTCTATCAGTAGAATAATAGGCAACACAATTATACCCATATACAGTTAACCATAGTTGTATAGTCACTGGTTGGTAAATTTATTGAAGATGATCAGTTGGGGAAACACTGTCAACCACCACAGCAGTGCCTTGTACCTGTGTTGTGTATGGAAGAAAGGGAAGCTTTACTGGACACTACTTTTAGATATTACAGTAGTTAAATTAATGACAAGCAATTAAGTTCAGTAAAATTCATCTTGTGATGATTGATATCTGCTTCTGACAGTAGGGGAGCTGACCTGAACTGATGAGAGTTCAACTAAGAACTTAAAGTGCTGTAGATGCATTAATATGTGGGGTATTATCTCTTGTCTTTTTATTTCAGGAAATATCAAACCAGTGTTATTGTATATGATATTTTGTCTAATTAATATCACTAGCCTTTGGGCTGACTGAGAGATGGATGAAACGATTAAAAAAAAAAAATTTACACATGTAATTATTACAGAAAGTTTGTTCACAAGTGATATACAGTAATATCTCCGTTAGCCGTAATCCCTCAAACCCGGAATTCTCCGATAGCCGGAATTGAAATTATCTCGGAAAATCGTTCCCAAAGCCGAAATTTTCCAGGAAATTTTGGTTTTGGAAACGATTTTCCGGGAAATTCTGAAAAAAAATTTCCCGATGGCTGGAAAAATCCATGGATGGGGGATATTATTTCGGGTTCAAGAGATGATGTAATGGGCAATTTCTGGAACTTCCAAGAACATTTTTCTATTACCCGGAAAATTCTAGAACATTCCTAGGATGGGGGATATTTTCCGGGTTCGAGAGATGATGCAATGGGCAATTTCTGGAACGTCCAAGAACATTTTTCCCTTACCCGGAAAATTCCGAGAATGAGGGATTTTTTCTGGCTTTAAGAGAGTCGTTTTGTTACCAGGAAATCTCTGATTCCCGGAAATGCTCTGCACCAATTGTTCCGGCTAACGGAGATATCACTGTATTTGTAAAAGGTGCGATGATTACTGTATAACAAAGTGACTTTCCACTCCACAGCAAATTTTGTCAATTATTATCTACCTTTGTTAGTTCCAAGGGGACAATTACCCCTTTAATGAGCCCCTGCCCCTTCAACATTCAGGGACTTTTTTGTTATGAGATTTGAAAAAACCTGATGTTATGTGGTTATAGTTTTTGTATTTTTTTAATATAGTTTTTAATAGTTGTAGTATTGTAGAAACTTGTGTTTACAGTGGTATTGCTATTCTGTATGATGGTATTATGTAATTTTATGTAACTGAGTGCTTGCGTGAGAGCAGAGGAAAACTGTATTTATTATGTTTCTTCTAGATTTTCACCTGATGTGCTGGGCATGCAGGCAAGTTCTGCTCTGGTGTGGCTGGTGCTGGAAATATTTGTTATCTTTGCCACCCTGTATGTAACAGCTATACAGACACACATCAAATCATTGGACCTATTAGCATTTTCCTCGTACAAATATGTTGGGTGAGTATTATCCAGTTTTATAACCAGGATCAGTGATACCATACTGTGTTTGTTAAGGCCAAATAGTAGTCATTGTAGTTATAAGGTTTACATAATATATCATCACCGAAAGTGGTCATCATTCTGAAGTATATAATTCCAACTCACACTCATTGCTCTCTGTCCTTAATTTTTATCTGTTAATATTTAATTCTGTATTTGTGGTCTACCTCTTTACTTTTCCATCCTCCAATATGAAATCTTATACTTCTTTTTCCCATCCTTAAGTATTACTAAATCAAAACAATCTTTCCATTTATATATATTGTACGTACAGTAAAGCCTCCAATAACAACAGTTTGACCAACAATTTTTCATATTTAAAACCCTAGTTAATTTAGGACCCAATTCAATTTATGTCCTTATTTCATTCGTATTTACGACCAATATATATTTAAAAAACAAAAACAAAAAACTTACGTTTTCATATGAATAATAACTAAATTCCGATGTATTATAAAAACAAAATGAATGTAAAAATTAGAGCGCCTTGGCATAAGCTACCCTTCCTATTAATTGGTAAACAACAGTAGGAGCTTGGTGGGCCTTTTGTTTTCAAGCATCTGGAAATGGAGACAGGAGAAAAACTTTCTTCAGGTTTCTTACAGCATTTTTGCATCACTATTCAACATGAGCAAGAGAGCAAGTGATGGTAGTGTTGTTTCAAAAGCTAATAGAAAGTGTATAAGCAGCGAGAAACTAGTTAGCTGAGAAACTAGATGTGTTAAAAGCGATATGAAAAGGTGAGAGGTCTGTGGATATTATATGGAGCAGGCAATGAACATATTTTCTGAAGTGGATCCATTAACAGAACAAAGCATAAAAATTTAAATAAATGCAAATGGCCTCTACATAAAAATGTATAATGAGAAAAGAAAGCAGCTGTGCAAGGTTCTTTCGACAGCTTTATTATTCTGAAGGCCTAAACCATCAACTTCAGCTACACCATCAAATTCAGCATCATAAGCAGCTTCAACATCAACTTCAGATTCAGTGACTGTTTCAGCAACAGCTTTATGGAAAGCTACAGCTTCATCAGAGTTGAACCTACAGCTTCAGCCAGAGTTGAACCTGATGACCGTCATCAAGTAAAAACTTCGCACAATATTCATTAGCTGTCCTTATGTTTTAGACTTTACCACCATTGGTAAGTAGAATTTTTTTTTTACATTAAGTAAATATTATTTAAAAACATATATGAACAGCAAATAAGTGTTCTTTCATATTCATATGTAGAGAAATGATATATTTTCACATATACGCACTTACTGTTCATAGTTGGCGTTCCCAATCGTCTTGCTTTATTTCTTTACCATTGTGGTTAGCTACTTGCTACTTCTAGTGTTCTATTTATTAACATTAAATAACATTACTTAAACATACATGCAGGTATTCAATTTTTTAAAATTAACGTCACTACAGCTACAACCAGGGTCTTATTTTCTTCAGTTTCTTATGTAGAACCATAGTCACTCACGAAAACAATGCGTCTTGTCTCCTTGTGTATGTTTAATATTCTCGTATTATTAATGAATTGCATTGTTCATTTCACATATATAAACGTTAATTCAATCAAATACTTATTCAGTAATAAACAATAATGAATCTTTTTATATATTCTTAAGATAAATGACTATGTTTCCTTACAGTTGTATGCGTATACATTGGCTTCACTATCAGTCTCACTATTTCTTTAATATCAGTGGTTACTTCTACTGTACATTAAATAACATTAATTAAAACATACATATTTTTTACAATATGTAAGTGGAAAACGATCTTCCTCAGTTACCGCTGCTAACTCTTCTCTTGTTTGCTGGTGAGGATAACACTTAGGGTGGTTGGGCAGAGGTGAAGCAGCAGCTGCTACCCGGGTCTGACCGGTTCAACCAACGCCATACAGTCATTATCTAGCTACCCGCTGTTCGTCCAAATTCTGGCTGTGATCTCATCATAGGTCCTGGACTCGATGGGCTGTCCCCTAGGCCTTCACTTATCGAATGTCCATTCTCTGGTCATCTACCACATACCACGACTGTCATTCATCTCATTTCCATCTGTGCTCCCGTGTTTCTCCTGCCATTTCAAGGCGTCCGGCTCGAGTGTGGAGTTGAATGGGCCTTCCTACCTAGTGTGGATCACCGTGTTCCAGAACCTTTAGGGCTACTGCCGTGGAAATATCTGTTCATTGTTTTATTCTATCGGTTGTTGACTCCCATTAATTGTTTGATTCTATTAATTGCTGACTCCCCATTAAATATTTGCTCCTTTTATTTTTTACTTCCATTAATTGTTTGACTCCATTAACTGTTGACTGCCTTAATTGTTTGACTCCATAATTGTTACTTGATGTTTGTTGAGTGGTGTCAGAGTTTTGTGTTATATTTTTTATCGTAAAGAGATATCAATCTCAAAGCGGTTTGTTTGCTATTCCTCAGAAAACCATGGCCTTGATTTTCCTTTATTAAGAACCTGATTAGTCTGGTAAGGATTTCTATCCCTAATTTCCGAGCTTGACACAATAATTTTACTCCAACAACAACAACAACAAGGTGCTTATTTTCTTCAGTTTCAGATGGATAACTGACATTTTGGTTAATAACACAGACAACAATGTCGTCTCGTATCCTCTTGTGTGTTTTAATATTCTACGTATTATTAATGAATTGTATTGTTCATTTTCTCATATATAAAGATTAATTCAATCAAATACATATTCAGTAATAAACAATAATGAATCTTTTGTACATATTCTGAAAAAAATAAATGACTCGTTATCCTTAAATGCGCACGTTTATGTTGGCGTTCCCAATCCATCTTTTTTTTCTTTGCCATTAGTAGTTAGCTACTTCTGTTGTTCCATTTATTAACATTAAATAACATTACTTAAAACTATATATATAATTTTTTACATTAATTTTACTACAGCTACAACCAGGATCTTATTTTCTTCATTTTCTCGTGTAGAACTATCGTCCCGAACTCCCTGCTGTAAACATAACGAAACAATGGCGTCCCATCTCCTCTTGTTGACCATATTATTATTCATTTATATTGTATCTTAAGGTGCATTCAAACATTATTTAAGAATATAGTTTGCAATTTTCATTAATTGTATTGTTTTGGAAAAGGGTAAAAGTCACACAAAAGATATGAAAAGGTTACACTTGGGAACACATCTCATTATTATTGCTTTATTTTAATGGTAATTAATGATTCGCGATACGATGATTCACCTTACACTGCAATATTGGAGGACACATTAACATCGTTATTAGAGGCTTTACTGTATCCTTTTTACCATTACTGCTCTTTACTATACATCTTTTATTCTGCTACAGTACTCGTAATTTTCTACCACTTAATTTGTTTTCATACTGCAGCAATTATATAATTTTGTATCTCCTAAAATCACCAAAAAACATTCTTATCAATGGATTTCAATGGAAGTTTATACCAGATTTGCTAAAAATACCTTACTTAATTTTATTCACTTAATTCATTTCACTATGAGTTCTGTCACTGTGTAAGATGTTACACTATAATTAACATTTTGGTATCAGAATGTTAGCACTCTGGTGGCTAAAGTTAGATTAGAAGGTATCCTCCAAATTATTAAGTTCCAATGGTTAATGTTATGATAGTGAATTGTTAAGGCAGTGAGGTTAAAGTCCAAAGTAGAAATGGAATCTTGTCTCTTGCTTGAAGTCATTGAGTTCAGATACCATAATATTATCCTTTTAAATTTTTACGATGACGACATAATTGAAATTATTTCCTTGTAACTTTCTCCTCTCAGATATTCGCATTCTCAATGGCTTCTTGATCAGGGCTTTGCAGTGGAAATTATTGGGAGAAGTGTAAATATGAGTTGAACTTTTATTTTTGCTTTTATTTGGGGTAATCATCCTCTTATCATATACAGTAAGTCCTTGCTAATGTCGTGGTTCCGTTCTTGAAAACCACAGCGTTAATGGAAACAACGTTATCGGAATCAATTTTCCTATAAAAATAGATAAAAACGGAGTTACGTTCCCAGCTACCATTTGCCCCATAAAATCCATTGCATATACAGAAATTCAGTGTAATTTTATAGAAAATAGAGTATATATTTATATATATATATATATATATATATATATATACAGGGTATGCTATAACGAATCTAATTGGTTCTAGAACCTCGTTTCATAGGATTAATCCGCTCAGGCCCCCAAATACAACCACTTAACACTGAAAAATTTCTGTGAAATTGTAAAAAATACGGTATTTTATCTTACCTTAGTGTTGTTCAGCATGACAGGAGGCAGAGGAGGAGGGGAGGAGAGAATTATGGAGAAGAGGTGGAAGGAGGAGTCATCCTTCCTAGCCCTCTTTGGTGACTGTCTTACAGGCACTTTGTCTGTTTATTTATAATTTCTTTCTTAGTTTTAAGGGTTATTAGTTTTCACTCGCTTTTGACGATTCAGTGTTATAATTGTACACTTGTATAACAAAATAGTTATAAAAATAACACGAATTTACATCAAAAGACGAAATTTCAACAAGTTCAGTGGTGCACTGACTAATAATGAACCAATATGGCGCCCGACTTTTGCTGTGAGCCGCGTACAACAATATCTTATGCGCCAGACGAAATAGTCCCGTATTCATCCGCTGCTCGTTGTAGGAGTTATGCTCATATAGCATTCTCAATTTGATAGGTAAAATCGTTCAAGTAGGAATATTCAGAGAGAACTGCTCATAGCATACCCACTGTATATATATATATATATATATATATATATATATATATATATATATATATATATATATATATATATATATATATATATATATATATATATATATATATATATATATATATATATATATATATATATATATATATATATATATATAAATCATTTTTGTATTGTGCTTATTGATGGGCGGAGGTGGTGGAGCGAGTGTGGTGGTGGGGTAGTGAGGAGGAGGATGTGAGTCACTGAGACTTCCATTTTTGTAGCAAGTGATCATAGTATTGGATGGATATATTTTCAGCCTGCTCACTGTCCTCTGGTGGATTGTAGGGAAAGAGGCTGAACATATTCTCTTTTGAGTGGATCATGCTGGGCTTATATTTAGGCCTAAAAGATACTGATTGATAACCATAATTTGAGAATCAGTTATTGATTAATCTTTTGATTAATCTCAGTAGAAAGGATTTATTGTAATGTTTGAAACAATAATTTTGATGTTACTTTTCAATTTCAGTACTTGAGTACTTATGAATGAGACACTTTTTTTTTAACTTAAGTATGTGTATATATATATATATATATATATATATATATATATATATATATATATATATATATATATATATATATATATATATATATATATATATATATATGCCTCTCCAGTATGTTGTTTTCTGCCTTTCCTTTGGTCTTTATTCTGCTGACACTCCTTTATCTCAATACAATTTGCTTCTCTGCTTCTCCATCTTCTAGTTTCCATTGTACCTGTATAAATCATCGTGAACCTATCAACATCAAGCATTTCACATGTCCATGATATTGTAATATGCTCACATATGCTCCCATCACTGTGTATCTCCAAGGACTTATAACCCCTTGTATGCACATATTTTGTTTATCACTGTTCTTCCCTTTGTACATGTTATTAATAGTACTGGGTATTCAAATATTGCTCTAATAATTCTCTTCCTCCATAGAGCATCCACTATGACATTTTCCTCTATAAAAGGCTATAAGATTAATAGTTAGTTCCATAATGAGTTATACCATACTTAGCCTGTATTAATAATATTGAATATGCAAGTCTTGTATTGATTTACAGGCAGTCTCTGAGTTACAAACACTTGCACTTACGAATGGGATCCTGTTACAGTACATTCGTCGCAAAAATCTTTAATTAAAATCCCTTTTTTTTTTACATTACTTTCATTATTCTTTATTGTTTAACATCACTTTATTTACCGTGTTTACATTATTTGTTGTGTATGGGATACAGTACCTTATTACTGTTTTTTTTAGCAGGGTTGTATCTAAAATCTAATTTTTTGCATCACACTCTGACCGTGCAAAAAAATTTTCCTACAAGTCTGTTTTCCGCAAATCCGTGCTTTTTCATGGGCATTCCCCAATTACCCTTGTAGTGTACTGTACTATGTTATCACTTATCTGTGCTCATATGAGTTGAAATGAAAATAAAATCATTGCAATACTCTAATGTGGCTTAGAAATAAATAAAAAGTAATACAAAACTATAAACTAAGAAAAATGAAGAGCATGGGTGTGTATGTGTGGGAAGTGAACACACACGTTTAGGCAGTGGGCTGTAACTACGTCGTTGACTCACCAGCCCAGCAGCCACCCGCACTCCCTCCCCCTGATGTGATGTCATGGTATACACTCATCGCAGCTGCAGCCACATGTCTCTTGACTCAGCTGGGTGGTTGCCTGGCTGAACTGTGTCACATCGCCCAGAGGATGGTTTGAGTGTGAGAGGAGCTATTTTTATACACAGTACTGTACAGTATATAAAATGTGCTTTTGTAATTTATGATAAGCTATGTATCAATTTTATTGTTTATCATCGCATTTTTTTTTCATTTTTGACATGCAATATGAAATTTGTTCAAATTAGGCTAACCCCATTGGTCACTAAATTGTTTGACTCAGAACCACATCATTAATATAGAGTGGAATAATTATTGAAGAACTGTCCAATAAATATGGTATTGAAGCATAAGTTTTTGAACAGTAAAGATTTATGTTATACAATTAATTACTGTAGATTTAGCTTTTTAGCAAATAATTAGAAAATATTCCTATGATTTTTAATGCTTATTCCACATATACTTGCCTTTTGAAATTCGGCCATGGTTGGATACCAATTGGCACTAATTTGTGAGCTCAGGCTGTACTTTACATTTTTTAGCATTACCTGTACTTCATTTACATTATTAGGTGGTACAGCGATAACGCACATAACTCTCACCAATATGTCAAGGGCTCGAGCCTCTGCCCAGACACACGGGAGAAGGGTGTTATCTAGTGTGACCTGGTCCCTGGTTTCCTCCTATACTAACGCTGGATAGACGACCCAAATGGCTAGTAAGCTGATAAGTGGTGAAAATTATATACAGTACGCCCAGATAATTCGCGGATTTTTATTTCACGGTCCTTTATTATTCGTGGATGACACCCTGGATGTACCCTAGTATGTCTAAGGGTAGTTTTAAAGTTGCTGGCATTTTCGTGGCCAGGACAGGGAGCCATTTGTTCTAGAGACAGTAATTTTCTTTACCTGTATTGTATATATGTGTATGTGTGTGTGTAGACACACACATACAAATAAATAATAATGGGAAAAATCCTCTCGCAAATAATCAGAAAAAATTTATTAAAAATGTTGAGTCTACCCTCAACTCCATTCCATGCTTTGTTATTAATAGAGTACAGAGTAGACTTGAGGGTAGACTCAACATTTTTAATAATTTTTTTCTTATAATTTGTGAGAGAATTTTCCCATTATTATTTATTTGTATGTGTGTGTCTGCACACACAGACACACACACATACAGTATTAACAATACAGGTAAAAGAAATAATTGTCCTAAGGGCAAACACATAAAGGGATTTGGTGATTCGTGGCCATTTTGTGAACCTAACCTCGGCGAATATGAAGGGCATGCTGTATTATTTTCATTATTTGTTATGTATGGGATATTATTGTTGTTTTGTTTGGGCAGGGTTGTGCTTTAACCTAACCTAAACTATGGAATTAACACTGTTCCGACTTTCAAATGGGGTCCAGGAACATAATCCGTTCGTAACTCGGGGACTGCCTATGCGGTACTTTGTAAATACTGTATGTATGGGTTATATATTTACAGTACAGTATATATACTCATATGTTCTGGTTTCTTTTTATTTTCCAGAATGATTGTTGCTCTGTTGGCTGGGTTAGTGATGCAAAGTTTGGGTTATTACTGTGTTCTCGCATACTCCAGCTTTAGCCTCGTTGTTTTCATGGTAAGTTGGACTTTTACTGTAGTTTGTTTAGAGTGACTGTTGGGACCCCAGAATGTAATCTCATTTCCACCTTAGATGGAGTTGACTTCTGTTTTATGATATATACAGTCTGTGGGTCTGACAGAACATAAACCTGTAGATAAAGTGGGATCTACTGTAGGGGTGTTTCCCATGAGGATTGATTATTATATCATGAAGAATATGTGAGCATCTTCTGAAGTAACCTCACCTTTAGGGTGTTTGAGGGGTTCATTATGTCTTTTGCATTCATATAATTTCTTTGTTTGACCATAAATTTGACTTGAAATAAAAATGTATAATTTTGACCTTATTCTCCAGACTGGTATAGTTAACGAAATTGAAGTTAAAACTATCTTTTTCCGATGATTCTTGATAGTGTTATGAACGAATTTGTCCTTCATCTCTGTTTCTGATATAAAGCTCTGAATCTACATATTTGTTATAAAATTCAAGGTAAAAAGTGTTCAAAACTAAAAAAAACATTGAAAAATAGTTTTGAACCAAACTTAACCTAACCTAACCTAACTATGGGGCTCCACAGTCGTTTGATGTTCTAGGTGTGTACGAGCATACATAATAAAATTTTAAATATCTAGCTTACACGTAATTTGTGCCAGAAATGCCACTGAAGAAGTGTTTTAGAATTGTCAAAATTACTGATTGCAACTATAAAATTCCTGATACAGTGACCCCTCGTTTAACGAACGCCTCGGTTAATGAAATTTCGGTTAACGAACTGCCTTCCATAAGGATCTTCAATTCGGTTAACGAACAAAAATTCGGTTAACGAATTTCTTACGAACCGACCTCAATATGTTTTCTCTTGCACTGACCGGGCAACCAGCTTTAGCATCAGTCCGCCAATACATTAATCGGTTCTAGGGCTTAAATTCCTTGCTATTTTAGTAAATATCAAGAAGTTTATACTATTCAATAATTTTAAAAGTTTAATATTAAATTTTTTAGTCATTTTAAATTGAACACAGCAAACAGGAGTTAGTCTCTCTCTGTTTTCACTGGAGGTAACATCTTGCTTGAGACTCTCTTCAACTAAACGCTTTTTTTCTGTGTTTCCAAGCAAATTATTGGTCATTTTGAAATATATTTTACATATTGACAATATATAATGCAGTGCAGTGTTGATTTAAAGAAAATAATCTTGAATTACACCAGAGAGCTAAAATTTTATGGGTGAAATGGCACCATGGGGTGACTTCTCTTCCACCCCAATGCCTTCTCTTCTTCCTTCTCCTCCACCCCCATTCTAAATCCCATCATCATCCAGGAGCCTTCTACATACACACCTCAAAGTAAGTGAACTTTTCTACCATTTTTGTTGAATTTAGGAAATTTTCGGTGAGCTGGAACCAATTACCCAAAACCCATTGAAACAATGGTTTCGGTTAACGAACTTTTCGGTTAACGAACGACCTTCTGGAACGGATTGAGTTCGTTAACGGAGGGGTCTCTGTACTGGAGTCAATAAAATCATTTCTAATTTAGTTAAGAAACACCATTATTTTATCAAAATAACCCTGAATACTTTATCTAAAAGTTTGGTTAAATAAATGTTTAAAAAAATATCTATATGATATAGTTGTGAATGGAGCTGTGTGTTACAGCAAAAACAGTGGTATTTTTCATGAGTCTAAATGACACATCTTACAGGACCTGTATTTATTTACACAAACACCACTGTACATACAATATTATTCATAGTGTAAACAAAATAATGTATATACGACTGTATAGTACTACTATACATACTGTACTCACCAGCAGATCCTGTCATCTTTTTCCAAGAATAGGCAGACATTTCACTTAGCTGACTGTAATAGGCAGACACTTCACTTAGCTGACTGTAATAGGCAGACACTTCACTTAGCTGACTGTAATAGGCAGACACTTCACTTAGCTGACTGTAATATACATAACTGTAATCACTTCTTAACACTTATGATGGAGGTTGGTGGGAGATTATTGGGTCATGCTACTAACTTGTCCTGATGCAATGTCAGGTCACCCATTGTAGGGTGGGGGATTAGTGGGTCTTATGACCTGAAGATGTCTTGAATAAAGACAAAAGCTAAGGCATTTTTGAGGCATGTGGATGTTAGCAAAAAAATTTATCAACTTTTATTCACAACATCTGCTCTGATTGTGTTAAGAGAAATGAATTTCGTACCATTGCATATACTGTATGGAAATGCATTTCTGATGACATTATTTTTTACCTATGAGGTATATACATAGTACTGTGCTGTATTGTATATGAAGGGTACAGGTATTAATAATTACAGATTATTACAGTAACGTATCTGTACTAATTAATGAATAACAAATAAACTATATTGTATCATGAAGGTAGGAGTTGCTGACAAACACTAAGTGAGAGGTGACCCTTTGCTGGGAGAGGGGTCACATTTACCCTCCAATAGACCCTTGCCCCTCTCCCTTCCTACCCCCCTCCCTCAGAGTATTTGTTATAAACTACTAATTATGTTAGAGGGGTGAATTTGATACCATAATGATCCTGAATAAATTCTATGAGATGTTTCCAATATGATATCCTTAAACAAAATATTTTGACATGATATAATGGGAATTCCATTAATTTTTACAAAAAAGTGTAAGAAATATTGATACCGGAGTCAGTAAAATCAGTTATAATTAAGTTAGACACACCATTTTTTTTTTGTACCCAAATGATCCTGAATATTTTATTTTACACAAACACCACTGTACACATACAATATTGTTCATACTGTAATACTTTACTGTAATCATGTTTAACACTTGTGATGGAGGTTGGGTGGTAGATTACTGGGTCATGTTACTGACCTGACCTGATGCAATATTAGGACACCCATTGTAGGGGTGGGGGATTAGTGGGTTTTATGACCTGAAGATGTCTTGAATAAATATGAAAGGTAAGGTGCTCCAGCGTTTCCCACTTACTCAATGAACAATGAAAGATAAAAGTCGTGTCATGAAATTTGGTGAAAACATATGCCGAAGGGCTAAAACTTTTGGTGCGCTTTGCCTTGTGGTAGGGGCTCTCATAATGTTTCACGAGTTATATTTAATCTTCGGACAAAACTGCGACACGACTTTTGTCTTTGATTGTCCAGTATAGTATATGTAAATGTAATCACTTTTAACTTTCTCAACACTGCTTTAACACTGTATTCTTGGCTGGTTTTGTTCTGGAACAATAATGTACAGCACTGCACAACACAAATTGTACACAAAAACAGCAACCAGTGAGGGAACGGTCTTCTACAATGACAACAGAATATGAACTAAGCGAACCAAGCAACTGGACCATCCTTCGCCTGGCCCGTGGGGATGGGTTGGGGCATGATGCAATCTTTCGGAATGTCTTGAAAATATATTCCCAGACCCAGAAATAAACATGTGTTGAGATTTTCCATAATTTTTCTTGGAATTTTCATAAAATAAGGCCGATTTTCAACCTCTGATTTTGTTTCCAAGTCTGGAATTGAGAGAATTTTCCAGAAAAAATTCCAAGCAAATTTCAATTCCGGCTATGGGAGAGTTCCGTGTTTGAGGGATTCCGTCTAATGGAGATATTACTGTAATACAGGTTGTACCTCTCTAGTCCGGCATTCTGTGGTCCGGAAACTCCCGTGGTCCGGAACGATTTTAGTTTGTCCAATAGGTAGATAGGCAGCTTTTTTTTTTTTTTTTTTTTTTCCTTATCTGAATTATTATTATTATTATTACAGGAGTATTAAATTTTTGCCCCTCAGGCCCCAATGTGGGTCAGTGACCTATGCCCGGGTGGGCTAATCCCCTTAAAAAAAAAAAGCCGCGGGAAATTAAGGTTTGTTTACATCCGGCAGTTCGGCTGCTCTCTCTCTCTCTGCTTGTCTATACAGAGTACAACATTTAACCCTTCAATATATATGAGCAGTAAATAAGTGTTGCTTTCATATTCTTATGTAGAGTAATGACGATATATTTTCACATGTGTGCACTTACATACGAGCAGTCTCACTTTTTTTTTACCATTAATGGTTAGCTACTTATATTGTTCCATTTATTAACATTAAATAACATTGCAGGTACTTCAAGCAACCATATTCATTTTTTACATTAATTTTACTACAGCTAAACGCAGGGTCTTATTTTCTTCAGTTTTATATGTAGAACCAATCAGTCACTGGTTTCGTAAGCTTTAACATAAACAATGCCGGCAGCGGTCTCGTCTCCTCTAATATTCACGTATTATTAATAAATTGTATTGTTAATTTTGCACACACGTACATTAATTCAATAAAAACAAATTCAGAAACATTAATTAAAATATATATGAACAGTAAATAAGTGTTGCTTTCATATTCTTATGTAAAGTAATGACGATATGTTTTCACGTGTGCGCACTTACATATGCGATCTCTCTTTTTCTTTACCATTATCGTTAGCTACTTCTATTGTTCCATTTATTAACATTAAATAACATTACTTAAAACAACCATATTAATTTTACTACAGCTACAACCAAGGTCTTATTTTCTTCAGTTTTATATGTAGAACCAGTCAGTCACTGGTTTTGTAATCAACGAAAACAATGCTGTGTCATTTCCTCATGTGTTTTAATATTCTACGTATTATTAATGAATTGTATTGCTCATTTTGCACACATAAACATTAATTCAATAAAAAAGACATTCAGTAATAAACAATAATGAATCTTTTGTACATAAGAGAAATGACGCTGTTTACACGATTATGCACGTCGTCTGCACGTTGGCGGGCCGTTCAAACCCGTCGAAATTCAAGTTTCCGCCGTCAAAATTTTTATTTATTTATTTTTTTGTGTGTTCCAATAAAATACGTTAAGAATTAAAAACTCGCGAAATTTGAGGAGCTACTATACGACATTTAACCCTTCAATATGTCTTCAAAGAGACCATGACGCAGAGAAAGTGGTGCTAGTGCTTCCAGGCATAAGCACAAGTCACTATCTATCCAGGAAAAGGGTGAATTTCCATGGTCCGGCACCGGTCAGGTCCCGAGGTTGCCGGACTAGAGAGGTACAACCTGTACTGTACTGTATATATTTTCTTTATTTTGGCAGTCTATTTAACCTAAAAAATTTATTTGTTAAACTTGTCATTACTATCATATGAAGGATAAAACAGAAATATATGGTGTGGTGTCCTTTAAGCTTTATTTTGATTCATAATATTTAAAAAAAATGAATATGTACAGTATTTGTTGAGTAAAATATTTAACAAATACCAACCCTACTTGGTGCAATGGAAAAATATAAATTATTTAACAATTTAGAAAGCTTAACAGATATAGGTACTCCTCGACTTACGACCTACTCGACTTACGACCACCCGTACATAAGACTGCCGCAGTTGTACCAAAATTTTGTCAAGTTATGTATTTTCAAGTCCCTACGTTAGTGATTGCGCTGTGTACCGACAAAATTTTCATTTGTAATTCCCGTTAAAATGACTGGCAAGCTTAAAAGTGAGAGTTTTGTGGTGCTGAGAAGAAAAAGAGACACCCATTTTAGATTTTCTATGTATTATTTTCGACTTACGACCAATTCGACTTACGACATGGATTTGGGTCCCTGACCCCGTCGTAAGTCGGGGACTGCCTGTATTTTAATGACTGTATTACATGTAACTACAGTGGTCCCTCGGTTAACGAGCACAATTTGTTCCAAAAGGTTGCTCGTTAACCGAAAAATTTGTTAACTGAAACCATTGTTTCTATGGGTTTTTGGGTAATTGGTTCCAGCTCACCGAAAATTACATACAAACTAAAAATAAGTTCGGTAAAGTACACTTACTTTGAGGTGTGCATGTAGAAGGCTCCTGGTTGATGATGATGATGATGGGAATTAGAATGGGGGTGGAGGAGAAGGGAGAAGAGAAGGCATTGGGATGGAAGAGAAGTCACCCCATGCCGCCATTTCACCCATAAAATTTTAGTTCACTTGGTGTAATTCAAGATTATTTTCTTTAAATCAACACTGCACTGCACTATATGTTATCAATAAGTAAAATATATTTCAAAATGATCAATAATTTGACTGGAAACAGAAAAAAGCGTTTATGTTGAAGAGTCTCAAACAAGATGTTCCTTCCTCTGAACCGATAAACAAACTGACGCCAAGCTTGGTGTGTTGAGTGGCTGTTTGGCACGCAAAAAACTAGTTTCCTGTACTTCAATTATGTTCAATAATTGTTAAAATTACTAGAAAATTTAATATAAAACTTTTAAAATGATTGAATAGTACAACCTTGTTGATATTTATTAAAATGGTAAGGAATTTAAGCCCTAAAACCGATTACTGTATTGGCGGACTAATACTACAGCGGATGAGCAGCCAAATGCAGGCGAAAACATGTTAGGAAAAATTCGTAAGGAATTCGTTAACCAAAATTTTTTCGTTAACCGAGGTGAAGAATCTTATGGAAGGTAATTCGTTAATTGAAATTTCGTTAACCGAGGCGCTTGTTAACCGAGGGATCACTGTACCATAAAGTAGCTACTTTATTGTTAAAATGTAATCACATAAATTGGTTTAAACTAATCCACCCTGAGGCTAAGGGACACCACATCACCAATTTCTTTGTTTTATCATTTGTATGATAGTAATGATAAGTTCAACAAAAAATTTTGGTCAAATACACTTCTAAAATGTAGAATTAGTGCAAATAACAGATCAGAGTGCATTGATCTGATAGAAGTACAAGATGGTATGAGAGCTGTGGAGTGGGGCCTGGTGTCTTTGCAATAAAAAAGCAAGTTTACTGTAGATAAAAATGATAATTACTGTATAGAAATGAGAGAAGATGAGATTAAAAGCTATAAGGAGACGATCTGTGTTACATTAGTTATAATTGCTGGAGTATGCCGTGTGTAACTGTACGGTACCTGTGTTAGCGACTCGGTTCTCCAATTCTCTCTTCCATTTTTTCTTGTTTCTGTTTAAACTACTACATATTTATTGTTTCCCAACAGTTCCGAACACTACGGTGGCAAGTTCAAGGTGGTGCAGCGATGGAGGCATACAGTGCAGGCAACAAGCGACGTCTCTATTTGCTGCTCTTCATGTCAGGTCTTCAACCTCTAATGATGTGGTGGCTTACAAAACATTTGGTTGCAGTCTGAAATTCTACAGTACTGCATAGTACATAGATGGCCTTCAACAGAAGATCAATGTTACTTTAATTATTAAACACAGTAAATGGTATTTTATCAGATATTTTTGAGATTTCCTTGCATAATTCATGGGTGTTAAGAGGCTTATCAGTTATAGCTTAATAAGAACACAAAATTTGGCAAACAAAGGATAATGTTGCTAAATTATTTTTAAATATAAATTGGCTTCACTCACTCATTCCTCACTGTAATTGAGGGATAATTTAAAAAAAAAAAAAAAAAGCTTGTTTATAGTGAAACCATTTAGAGCAAACCTAATTTTTATTATTATTATTATTATTATTATTATTAGGGATTGCTTTCCTGATTATATATTCTCACTAAGGAAGTTATAGAGAAAAAAGTAATAAATTTAATGAATCTAAAACTAAAGTACACATATGCAAGTAACACCAGGACTCACCAAGGACATGTATAGGCCTAGGTTATCCATATCCATTCAGTTTACTGTACATTACTAAGATATGCTGGTGTAGGGTGAATGCTGAACTCTACATTTCTCACTCAGCTTCTTATCCTCTCTGATAGTGAAGTTGACTGAGCTTTTAATCTAGTCTGCATTTGTCCATGTTGAGTGTACATCTGACCAACTAATGTTAAGCACATGATCTAGTGCTGAGGTTCCCACACCACTTTCAAGTCATCAGAGTATGCGCAACTTGGTTTTCTAAGTTAAGGTCTTAGATTTCTTGATGGGGATATCCTTGAATTGTAGAAGCACTTTATGAGTTGTGGTGGTACCATAATCCTAAATGACTGGGGTGCATGAACAAAGGAGAAAGAGATTGGAAGGTTATTTTAAATTGTAAACACTATGTATGTCCCAGTGAGAGTTAGGCTGTGCATCCTGAATCAATGCGAGACTTGCAGTCCCAGGCATCTCAGCAGCTGGGACTCCAAAATGGCTTGGTGCAATTACCATGTTCATGTGCAAACCACAACTTGTACTTATAAAATTTTGGTGGTAAAAGTTACATCGTTCACCTGCAAATTGGATTGAATCAACATTGTTTAAAGGGAGGAATGGATGCAGAATGGCCCAGGTTAAACTCATTTGAAGTATGTGATGATAACTGTAACCTGGTTGTAATTTAAATACATAACAGTAAACCTCAGATTTCTGTTAACTCCTAGTTTTCAATTTGAATGTGCCTGTGCAATGATGAACCAATTGAGTTCATTATTTGCCATTCTGCCCTACCATTTCCTCTACTGCATTTTTAAAAATTTATGCTTTACTGTGAAATTTTTTATGACTGCGGGATATTTTGCAGTGAATTTAAAAACTTGCTTACAAAGTCTTGCCTTAGACATGTTGCAAATATTCATATGTTATCTGCAAGATTGTTACTTAACCATTATATATTTTTTATGCTGGGTTGGGTGTGTATGTCTGTGATACCATCACTTACTCTGAAATTCTATAATCCAGAATATTTGATATAATGAAATGAGAAGTTGACAAAAATGTAAAAGTGACAACTGGGGAATTTGTGATTGAAATGATTTGTCCCAAGACATGTAAATTTTGGCCAATTTTAACCTTTATCAAAGGTTACCCTGGCCATTGTGTTAACTAAATATTCTGGGTAACAGAATCTCTGATGTAAGAGGTACTACATAAATTACAATAAAGAAAAGGCTAGTAAAGTAAAATATGAGAAAGTAATAAATTCTAGAACCAATTCCAAAGTTCTTAGCACATGTAAATGCATTGGTTCATGAACATTAAAATCTCACTTGTCTTGCTCTGTTTTTGTTTTGTTATTTTTCTTCAATGCAGATCCAGATTAGATCTTGGCCCATTCCTTCTTTCACTTCTGCATCTCCATATTTCTCATTCTCTGCATTCTATTTACCCCATGCATTGCTTTTAAGCTTATTATTTCTGTTGCTTCTAATTTGCTCCTTCCCTTTGCATTTAGGGTCGTTATTTCACACCAGTATAATAATATCAGCTCAAAAGTTCCCCAGTACATCCCTATCTTTTCCTCCATTCACATGGCTCTCTGTTTTTATATATTGTATATATATACTGTACAGTATATAATATGATTTTAGGGGAAGGGTGTGCTGCTGATGTATGTGAAGTGATGGCACACCAGATTTAGGCTCTTGTTGTGATGGGGAAATACAATTGGTCAACACAACTTTACAACTACGAATAAAGGAAGGTCAGTTAATGGAGGGAAGATGTGCCGTGTATGAGTTCCTTTCTGTCTACCTTGAATTATAAGCAGGAAAAGGCCTGGCTTGAAAGTGTGTATGCATACATTTCTTTATTTGTCGTGGGAATATAAAGAGCCATAGCTTTTCTATATTTAAAATAAAAATATTGTGAAACGGTAATACAGTATTGTATATTATCATTTAATAAAACCTAATATACTGTATGTATATGGAATATTTCAGTGTAGAAGTCAATGTTCCCAACTGCTATTTTTATTTATTAAATTTTTTTCACTGAAATTGTACTGTCAAAACAGTGGAAAGCCAGATTGTGTAATTTAAATTTTAATGCATCTTGCCCTCCATACATTTTTACTACTTAGTTTATTTTTATTTAAAGGGAAAGGCAACTTCAGATGTTAACTATTTTTGTGTAACAGAATTATAACCTTTAAATACAAAGAGGAGGTTGTCTGACATCCCAGGCTGTTACTTCACTTTCTTTCTGCATAGAATAGTGACAAGAAAGAATGTATTTATGTGCATGCGTATGTGCATTTTTTTTCCAGAGTTGAGGTAATACCTCGAGTGAGGATATGTGTAGTTGCTCGTAAAAATCCCCATAAATACTTATTAGTGTACTTATGCTTTAGTACAGTACAGTGTATTACTATTACTTTTTTCTTCTTCTGCAGAGCCTTATACAGGAGTATTTGCTATGATGTATAAACTGTCAAGCATAATAGTGACACTTAAATAGAGATCTGACACCCAACAAGAACAAACAGCAGCATTTGTAATGCTCTAAGTCAGGGGTTCTCAACCAGGGGGGAATTTCCCCCCCTCAGGTTTTCAGGGGGGGGGGGGAAACTGATACTAATATGGAAAAAATAAAGGATTTTCAGTATTATATGCAATTATTTGGAATGCACTTTTTTGAGGCAGACAATCTTGGAAAGGAGGGGGGAATGACATTCTGACATATGGTGAAAGGGGTGCATGGGGCAAACAAGGTTGAGGACCACTGCTCTAAGTATTGTACAACAAACACCGAGATTGTACATCTGTGGTCCCGAAAGTTTACACTTGTCACTGCGATTATTGACTACAGTACAGGTTTATAAAAATAATTGCAACAACCTTAACAAAATTAACACAAATAAAATATGACTATAAATTAAGATACAGTTTGTTATTTTTATGCATGATCAATTTCTTTTAAAAATGGTAAAAAAAAATATATATATATTTTTTATACATTCAGAGAACAAAGTTTCAGTGCCCTGAGTAAGTCAGATACTGTATTGACTGTTTTTATACTGTATATGCCTACCATGTATCATTAATGCTTTAGTAAATAAATTGCTCACTTTTATTAATGGTGTATTGACAAAGTTTCAATCATTATCATATTGGCTGTGATAATATCGTATTTTGTGCCTACACACTTTTTTTTTTATTCTGGGCTTTCAATGTTTTTAAAAATGAATGTCTTTTGAAAGATAAATGTGACATCTGCAATGGCATTAACTTCTAGATGTTTGGGAGTACATATACTGTACTGTAGAACTCTTACAGGTACTTTGACTTGAAGTTTTTAGATTTTTTTATCAATTTATTTTTTGGTATCTTGTTTATTTACACTTTAAACTTTATTTTGAAAAGTTAAATGCGATATTGACTCAAATTTGGTGTATTTTATAAAGTAACATGTGAAATGGTCTTAAGTTCATTGCATCAAAAATCTTTTCGTGTAACTAGGTAGGTAACAAAGCACCCTTGACGTAATTGTTCACTTAGACCTTGTAATACAGTTATCTCCGTATTTATGATGGGGTTATGTTCCTGAAAAACCATCACAGGTCGAAATATCGTAAATTGTTTCATTATAACATGAGGTTCAATGGGATACATTCATTGTTGGTCAACACCCACATGTATCACTGGAAAAAAAATCCTACTCTAATACTGTACAAGTATTCCTTACAACACACACCACACCATTAACCCAATAACTGCAGTAGAGTGATTGGTCCATCAACCCCCCAGTCCACATTAAAGGTATACAGTATAAATTTTCTCCCAACACCATTTTAATTCTTGTGGATTAAAAGATATGTAGAAGAATGTGGAAACCAAATACCTGTATGAGTCTATTACTTACCTTAGTTTGGCCACCAGTCTCTCATAGGGTGGAAAAAGCATTCTTACCTCAATTGACAATTTCACTCAGTAAATATATTGAAATTTTCATCATCTTGAATGTTTCAGCTGCAAATATATATATATATATATATAATTACGGTAACACATGCATTCATTCATAATTTTAAATATATATATTGTACTGTACATCAACAGGAAATTACGTGAGATTTCTGAAATGGAGGATAGCAAAAACGTACGTTGTGGGGGGACTCGAGAAACTGTCAAGTATAAACATCCTATACTGGACCCCACGACATCAAAAAATTTGCGCGCTGCATTCAAACGTTCTGAATTCCAGAGTGTAAGACACACTCCTCCGCTTATCATTCAAGAATGCATATTGCCGTTATTGGGTTAAGAACAAACCTGGTCGTCATTACATGTCCCCTTCAAGGCTAAGGGGACTCTTGAAGGGTTTGGAGTGGAGACATCACTCTGACTCTCACACAACCTCTGTGGAGTCTTATGCCACTTCACAATGTCAAGCTTCACCTCCAGAGAGACAGTTTTCCTAGGTGCCTTGGCCTTCTTAGACATTTTCAAAGTTACACTGTTCTCTTCACAGTTGCAAAAAGAGCGAATGATGATAACATTATTGCAGCCGACACTGCTCACATCGTGTTCATAACAACAGAGGCAAAACACTTTACAGTCACAAAAGACACAGCAAAAATATCTTGTCACAAAAACAGAGTACAATGTGAACATTAGTGGTGTCCTCTCACTGTAAGGTAAATAAAACAAAACACCAATGATCAGTAACACCACCAACATTGACTAATAATTGTTGAGCTACACAATCATGACCATGTGCAATCACCATGGAACAAAGCTTGGTACTGTAGTACACTGGGTGGCCACACAGGTAAGAACTGCAACTGACAAGTGAACTGGGAGATGCATTCCACATTCTCCATTGGCTGGACAATGGCCATCGTTCATGCAGATTTAAATTGGGGGGTGGTCTTAATACATCACCATTGTTGAAGAGGAATATCGTAGATAGGGAGAACACTTGTATTATTTATATTTGGAGTGTCTGAGGTTATGAAGCAAGTCTAGAAAATTTGTGCAAGTTTTTTCTTTGTGAAAGTATCTCAGAAATGTCTCTTCATGCTTAGTGGGGCCCCCTTTTACTGTATACTTTTTAAATGCCCACCAAGTTTTCACTCAACTGACTCCTCAATTTTGCATCATGTGCATAACTTCATTCCTTTAAAATTTAGATTACAGTAATTGACCAAAATATTATGGACAGGAGTAGGTAACAGTAATAAAGGTTAGTAAAACAGAAAATAAAGTGTTAACATTGTATTTACATTAAATATTTATACGCCATAGAAGAGTGTAGCTTCTTTACCATGCCTCAAAAAGTTAAGTATGTATCAACAATCAACACTTCGCAGGTGAAAAATAAAACTACCACTTCAGCTGTGTAAGGCTGAAGTGTTTTGTCTTCCAATGTAGACAATTCATTCCTATTGATAGGTAAAAAATTTACCTATTTACACAATAGAACAAACCAAGTACAAATTGTAGTTTTAGCTATTTTGATCGACTAACATTTATGATAGCTTTATTTTATTTATTTTTTTTTTCAGTTTGCATTATTGTCGTCTATCTGATGCCAAATTTTAATTCGTACCTTACGACCAATACAATTGATCTAGTCTTTGCTAATAAAGGTAAGTAAAATTATGGAGGTAAATTATTTCATTGGTAATTTTTTTTTCTAAATTTCCTGGGAAATATGACAATGATACCGAAGACTTACCAAATACATTTATCGATACAAATGATCTGCTTTGATGTTAGCTGCTATTTCGGGTTCCCATTTGTCACCATTACTAAGCAATTTCTCCTTGTTGTACAGCAGTTCTTCATGAGTTTCAGTTGTGAACTCGAAATTTGGACCCTGAAAGTAGAGTTGTATACTCAGAATGTATTATCTATGCTGGGGGAGACTTTGGTAGTTAGTTAAAATGCAAGAAAACTATAATATATTAACCAAAATGAAGCCACTTTAATATCTGAACACATCAACATGCAAGCAGATATTAAGTGGGATTGCTTAGGGATACTTTATATATAAAAAAAAAATGGGAATAATCTTGTAATCATACCTCTACAATAGCATCAACTGGACATGCCTCCTGGCAAAAGCCACAGTAGATGCACTTGGTCATATCAATATCGTATCTTGTGGTACGTCTGGCACCATCTTCACGCTCTTCTGCCTCAATGGTTATAGCCTAAAGAAAATTGAAAACCAATGTCATTAATCACACTGCAATGGAGGAAGCCATCCATCAATCAAACATAACGTATTGACAATACAGAACTGTACAACAATTTTAAATGGAGTGGAACAATTACATCAAGCTTTGCATGACTCATAAATTTGTTCCTCTTTCAATTCATATTGAACAAGACAAGGGGCACTATTACTTCCTCATTGCCAAGAGAGATGTGAAGACACTTAGCACCTGATGTTGTACATTTCTCACCACATGCAGTTGATAATTAAGAAATGTTAGAAGACAAGATTTGGAGAAATACCAGAGAGTGAGATCGTCTCATGAAAAAAATTCTAGCATTTAAACAAATGGACCCAAAAAATTTCACCATAAGAAATAATTTTTAGTTCTGAAAAGTTACTTTCATCTTTATGATATTCAAGAAATATACAGGATTTATTCTTTATGACCAAAACATGAATGAAACCTCCCGAAAAGAGCATCCATAGTATTGTCGGGGTCAAAGGTTCATTCCCCGTGATGGAACAAGTTGCAGGAATGAATCTGAACTGACTTACCCTGACTCGTTGGGTGCGGGTGTCCTGTCGTATTTCATTTGAGGTTGATACGGTTTTTTGGGAGGGAGAAAACTTTTGACCCCAACTGTACATCTAACATAAATGCTGACTTTCTTATGGAATTTAACAAATTCCATATAACAATTTCTCCAGGTTTGTACTTACTTGAGCAGGACAGATGGCTTCACATAATTTACATGCAATGCAGCGCTCTTCACCAGATGGGTAACGACGCAAGGCATGTTCTCCTCTGAACCTGGTGAGTAGAAGCAAAAGCCTTGTAATTTCTGAATGTACATAAAAAATCTCAATTGCATATACAGTACTATACAATACTGTACTGTATATTCTATACTACTGTTCACAATGGTGAAAATCATTGACAACAAAATAACAAAAATGTACACTCGGTAAAAAATCTATCGCTACAATTCCTGCGCGAAACAAACTGACTCTACAAATGAAGTGTTTCCAAAAGGCCCCCGAGGCATTTCTCGCATTGGTAGCCCTGCGCGTGTACGGTTTCGGCCACACAAGCTCGAAACAAGTGATTGGCACTGAAACGAAACCCAGTACTAGACTTAACGGAATTATCGACCGTATGGTAATACGTCATTGGGCTAGGTTCCATTATGACGGCATGCGAAACTTGAACTACCGCATATACTCGTGTGTAGTTCGAGTTTTTAAGACCAAATTTTTAGGCAAAAAATTGGGGTCGACCTCTACATAGGTAGTTTTGTTAGGTTGAACCCGTGCATGATGGGAAGGGCGAGGAGCAACTTTTAACTTCAGACATGAAAAATATTTACCATTTACTACCAGTAAACAATGGAAACGTAAAATATGTACCAATTAGTAATGAAAAGTTGTGCAGTTCCTTCAGCAGATGAAGCTCACCAACTTACAATAGGCTAAATTATCTTACAATGTGCTTTCAGTAGTCTATGTTGAAGTTCTTAGCACAGGCTAACTTATCATATATACGGTATCACAGTACTCATTGATCTACAAAAACTACCGGTAATAAAAACCTTTTCGATATTTAACACGTAATATAATACCTGGTAATCCACTTCAACCTCCTATTGTTTACAACGATGCATGACGCACCACCAGCTGTTGCGTATCAGCTAGACGGTACACGTGTTTTTCGAATCATTTTCAGTTAAGAAACTGTTACATCACACGTATATTTTTACCTTAACTGTGCCTCAATGAATATATTCTCAGAAATAAAGAGTAGTTTTGCTGAAACGTGATGTTTTTTAATATAAAATAGGATAAAATACATGACGAAAACAAAAGATTTTACCTAACCTTCCGATGTTCAAGAGAAGTTACTCGTTTTTTTTTAATAGTTTTCGGTTAAAATACTGTTATATTAAAATGATATTCTATTCATAGTGTGCTTGATATAATGCATTCACGGAAATGTAATATTTTTTCTGAAATGTCATACGTATTACAGTGGAAAGTGGGATAAAATCATGACGAAAACAATCGACTTTCGCTTTGTTTCGTTGTTCAAAAGATGTTACCATAATTGCTTTTTGAATGGTTTTCAGTTAAAAAACTGTTGTATTATAATAATATTCTATCCTAATTGACTTGAATAAATACTACGATACCATATTTCTGAATATTTTCATTAAAATCCATCAAAATCATTTTCCTTGTCATCGTCTTCAGCACCAAACAGCTCCTCCCAGTCTTCTCCTTGAACAGGGCTAGAGGGTACATGTTTTTTAATCATTTTCAGTTAAAAAACTGTTACATCACAGGGTATATTTTACGTAAACTGCGCCTGAATGAATATATTCTCAGAAATAAATACAGCAATACCCCGATTTACGCGGTCAATTGAACCTGCAGAGGTCCGCGTAAAACGAGAAACGCGTAAATGGAATAACAGAACATATGGGATTACAGTAATTGAAATAGAGACTGAGCCGACTCCCAAACTCCACTTTTTCGGACACAATACCTATGTTGTAGTAAAAATAACATCTAAATTTTATGATGGTATGCACACACAATTAATATTTAAGAGAAATACAGTCGCCAGGTTAATGTCCATTCAAATAATGGACTCAACTCCCCCCCTTCCCACGCTCGCTGGCTCCTCCCTCTCTGAGAAATGTTTGGCAAAAACACTAGATTTTAAGGTATAGTAATAAATAATACCTCAGACTAAAGTTAGGATAATATATTTGACATTGCTGGATTCCAGGAATATTTTGAATATACACGTCATATATTTTCCACAAAAGATAACATATTTGCTCTGTGTAAACAAAATTCTTGCATTAAATCTAAAATTTGTATGTCTAATGCAAAATCCATGATGTTTACATTCAAAATGATCATCATATTGTAAGAATTCCAGCAATGTAAATTATATTCTGGCCGGGTAATTTGTATGAATTTTATGAGCTAAATAAAAAAATTATACTTCACCCGCGTATATGAGTAGATGCACCGCGTAAAGTGGGAATTCCGGTTCTGGCAGGGTACCGCGTAAATGGAGAAACGCGTAAACGAGAACCGCGTAAAGCGGGGTATTACTGTAGTAGTTTTGCTGAAACGTGATGTATTTCAATGTAAAATAGGATAAAATACATGAAGAAAACAAAAGACTTTACCTAACCTTCCGATGTTCAAGAGATGTTACTCATTTTTTTAATAGTTTTCGGTTAAAATACTGTTATATTACAATGATATTCTATTCATACTATGCTTGATATAATACATTCACGGAAATGTAATATTTTTGCTGAAATGACGTACGTATTACAGTGGAAAGTGGGATAAAATCGTGACGAAAACAATGACTCGCTTTCTTTCGTTCAAAAGAGGTTACCGTAATCGCTTTTCGAATGGTTTTCAGTTAAAAAACTGTTGTATTACAATAATATTCCCTCCTAATTGACTTGAATAAATACTAGAATGGAAATATACAATATTTTTGTTGAAACTACCCGCATTTCAGTGTAAAGTGTCGTAATAATAAATGGTAAACAATTTGCCTTTGGCACTCGGTGTTTCAGGCACAGAGAGCCTCAGTTTATAGGACGTAGAGTGTTTTTACTGAAGGTTTTGTTGTTCCATTACCCTCAAATACTTGGGTCGACCTATAAACGAGGAATATCATAAATTAACGATTTCTTGGTAAAAAAATCAGGGTCGACCTATAAAGAGGGAGGATTATAGACGAGTACAGTAGTACCCCGCTTAACGCGGTCAATAGAACCCACAGGGTACCGTGTTAAGTGAAAACCGCGCTAAGTGAACAACAGAACATATGGGATTAATTCCAATAGAAACTGGTCTGACCACCAAACTCCACTTTTTGACGACACAACTATGTTGTAGTAAAAATTTTATCTTAACTTTATGATGGTATGAACAAACAAGTAATATAGAAGAGGTTAGGTTAGGAAAATTAAAGGTTAAGTTAGGAAAAATAAAGGTTGGGTTAGGAAAACTAAAAGTTAGGTGTAACACTTACGTTAGTAGAAGACAAACACCTTACAGTGCGGCTTGCCCAGGCGGAGGAAGGCGGGAGGGAGGGAGGAGGAGGGAGAGGGGAGAGGCGAGAGCAGGCAGGCAGGCGGGTGGCAGGTGGGGCGAATCTAAAAATAGCGTCTCGAGCCGGACACTGCGCGTATATGTGGAAAAAACCCACGTTAAGTGAAAGTTCGGCTCTGGCGAGGCACCGCGTACACGTGAAATCGTGCTAGGCGAAACCGCGTTAAGCGGGGTATTACTGTATATGTATTCAGATGTTTCGGAATGGCATGGTATATTTTCCAATACGAATAAAGAATGACATGATGTGGCATTAGCCAAAAGTGAAGTAGCAATACAAATACAGATTAAAAATTCGGTTGCAAAATTATCTTATACCTTTACTATATCCACTAATTCTGCCAAACATATACTGTACTCCGTAATGCGTTCCGTTATGGCAACTCATCCACTTCCATGGTTACTGTAGTCCACGGTGTGTGGAACATTTAATATAACATACAGTTTAACTTATCCAGATATACTGATATTCTCCAGTCATATTGTAACAAAGTAATTCAATCCTGTCAATGAATTAGCTAATTTTGGCCTACCAAATTAAGTACGAAATGTCTCGCATTCAGGCCTACCAACCCTCATGAGACAACGAGAATGTTCAATTGGAAAATCATCGGACTCCACCTGTACGGTAGTTTTTTTACCGAGTGTACAGTACTTTATTATTCATCACTGAAAGCTTTAGCTGAACCTTTCAACCAACCTTGGGCTTAGTGGTCCCTTCTCAAAAGGATAGTTTATGGTTGCAGGTTCCTTGAAAATATGACCCAGTGTCACAGCAGCACCTGCAAAACATGAGTTTCTAAGGAAAATATTTATAAACTCAACATAATAAATGCCATGAATGAAATTTGTTTTGACTAGATGCTAGACTTTGAGCAGTTTGAACAATTAATGCAAGTCATATCTTGGCCAATTCCAATTCACCAGCATAATCAACTATAAGCACAATGAGTGACAACAGTAAGATTACACAATGACAAATGAGATAAATAGTAATGAATTCTATTCAGAAAAAGGACAAATCTGTAAAATTGATGAGTTCAGATGATGCAATGAAGTAATGTGCGAGTCTAACCTCGCCAGAGTTCTGTCCAAAACACTGTAGCAGCTGCACGGTCAGTAATGTCCCTCCACTCCATACTTGGTTCCTCTGGGGACACATACTTGTAGCAAGAACGTGCTTGTGTTACAGCTATACCACGCACACTCGACTTCAGTACTGAAACATTTGAAGCTGTAAAAAAAAACAAGGAAAAATGATTTAAGTCCTAAGCCATGTTTCGAGGGAAGTAAAAGCAAAAACTCTGTTCAATCCATCTCTTCTGAATAAGTTTTTGCATTTCTTTATTATGACTGAAAAAAATCCACAAATTTATATTTTAATATGAAAAATGCAGGTCACAGTATACATATAAGAGATTTATTTGACAAAATTCCACTACAGTACTACAAATTTAATCTGGTATGTAATACAGTAGCTGTAATTAATGGGTCTGTTGTTAAACATTTTCAAATTACAATACTGTACTACTGGGATTGGGTTTCTTACTAAAAATGTACTAATGGGCAATTTATGTTTTATTATCATGGAGAGGTGTGGCAAAGAAGCAGATACTTTACAGTGGTTATCTGCACTTTCATTATGTTTGGTTAAAAGGGGGCTCAGTTTTTCCAAATTCCCAGATTTTCTAAGAAGTATACCAATGCTCAGTGGTCCATTCCTGTTAAACTCTGACTTCAACCCGTGATGGTTTCCTCTCCAGAAATATACACAGCCATGTCCTGCTCAGATGGGCAAACAGGTACTGTTCAGTACAAGTACAGTACAGTACTTAGTTATAGTTTATCTTTCTTGCAGTCATTAACTATGGCCTTAAACACTTTATTAATAGACTAAAACGTTTGTTTTAGTAAATATTTATTAGTTGCCAACACCTATTTGTATATTGAGTCTTTTTATAGGGAGAAAGAAAAAAAATGGAAATTTTTCTATAGCTTCTGTCAGAAATTTATACTTTTTGAGTATTTTAATAATAAAATTAACCATAAAATTAGTTGTCCAAAGTGGGCAGTGCTTTGAAGTATATGGAAAATGTGGGGTAAAATACTAAAAAAATCAATAAATAAAAAATAAATAAAAAAATATAATCTTGAAAACCCTAGCTAACCTTCAATACTCCTAAAACTATAAAAAGCTTTCCTAATTCATGTTAGTGTGTGTTGGTGTTGTTTTCAGTGCTCAGATGAGGAGGGATCCATAAACTCAAAAGCAATTCTTAACATTTTTACAAGTTAGGAAAGATTAGGTAAGGCTATCGAAGGTTTGTCTGGTGTTCATTTTAGTAAAGTATTTAACCCTACATTTCCCTCTACTTCAAAGACCCGCCCACTTTGGACAACTAATATTATGGTTAATTTTATTGTTAAAATACTTGAAAAGTATAAATTTCTGACGGAAGCTATAGATAAATTTCTTGTAATTTTTTTGCTAGTTGTTTTTACCTTATTATTACAACAACAGTATCCTACACTGAGAAATGAATACTTCAAAATTTTATGACTTTCTAATGACACTGACCAAGAGCTTCTGATCATTACCATCATTTGTTTCAATATCATAAAAGCCTAACACTAATGAGGTATAGTAAAGTATCTTTTTAAATCTTTTCTATCTGTGTAAGATACCTTCAATCTACCTGTATTTCCGTACTCTATTCCAACAATAGTGGAAAACAGTTAAGAACAAGAGCCCGGACAAACCAGCTACCTCACGAAAAATGTCAATAGAACTTGGTTTTTGTTATAAAATAATAGTAAACTGAGGCCTTTCTCCTAAAATTTAAATAAACTACTGCACATTTTTTCCTTACTCCACATAATTACTTCAGTACATAACAGCAACATCCATTACCAAACTATCAGATAATCATATAGCGACCCTCTCTTTGACAGGTTATAGCGTGAAGTAAAATAGTTATAAACACAATAAAAGTAACAGATTAATATGGAGAGTTACGGCAAGTTAAGTCAAATAGTTATAAATACAATAAATGTAACAAATGTGATGAATTACGGTATGGTCTTTCTCTTCAATAGACGGATACTAGACCCTACTCTTAGTGTCTCTGTAAATATTTCTCACACGCTAAGTTAAGACCTGGCAAAAGCAAAAGCCCTACTATATCGTAATAATATTCAAACATACCATTTCGCCCTAAAGAGAAAAGCCGTACAGTTGCCATGTTTACTACAGGTGAGTATAAACGTTAGAATAGACCAAATAGTTATAAACACCTTCAAACAAAGAAGCATCACTACTATCATAAGACAATCGGTTTATATTCAGAGGGATTATGTACCACTGAGTAGCTCTTCAGCATCACTTCTCGGATATGAATAGTCTTAGCTAATTTTCGAGCCATTATCTTAAACTATAGCCCTTAAGATCATTACAATTAACAAGTCTTCGCCGCCTAAAGCAAAAATGTATGGGATTAATACAATGAATGAAGGATCACGTGAAAATTAGCCCCCCTTGGCTTATTTCACTTGATGATTAAGCACTAATGTTGGTGGTACAGTGGTAACGTGCGTATAACTCACCAATGTCAAGGGTGTTGTCCAGTGTGACCCTACCAAACATCACAGGTTTCCCGGACTCCGGTTTCCTCCTGTACTAATATTGGATAGAACAACTGCCCGAACGACGTTTGGGGGGTCTAATCATCAGGTGAACTAAGTTGGAGAGCAAATCTTCAGGTGATCTTAAAGGAATTTTCAACCTGTAGTAAGCAGATAATTACTTTTTATTTTTTTATTTATTTTTACTTTAATGCACTTCGCCACTGATCGGCTCGTTAGCCACTTGGGGGTCGGTCACGTCTCTGTTAAGCACTGTTGGCAAGTACTGGACATGCACTAGTTCCTTTTTTACCTTTATCCTCTTCGCCACTGATCGGCTCGTTAGCCGCTCGGGGATCGGTCACGTCTCTTACGCAGTGTTGGCAATTACTGGGCATGCACTAGTTCTTTTTTTTAATTTTATCCTCTTCACCACTGATTGGCTCGATCAGTCACGTTTCTGTTACGCACTGTTGGCAAGTACTGGGCATGCACCGGCTCCTGAATGTACCTGAATCTGCTCCAGTGTTGGTCAAGTCTGGTCTTGAAAGAGCTCACACTCGGTGCCATCACAATACTTTCTGACTGATTGTTCCAAGAGTTCACAATTCTCACTCTGAAAAAGTTTGCCCTCACAGTTTTTCGCACCTGCGGCTTCTTCAATCTTGAGCTGTGACCCCTTGTGGGGCGAGCGTCCGCCAGCTCCAGGTAAGGACACTCGACTGAGTAGTGCTCCTTGAGATGCTTATACACCTTAATTAGGTCGCCCCTTGCCTGTCTGTAGTATTGTGGGGTTATGTGATATTTGGTTCACACTCAGGATGGGATAAGAACATAAGAACATAAGAATGGAGGAAACTGCAGCGGGCCTATTGACCCATACTGGGCAGTCCCGTTTATACCCAACCCCTATTGCTCATATAAGCATCCAACCTATGTTTGAAGCTATTCAGCGTATTCGAGTTAATAATGATATTTGGTAACTTGTTCCACTCATCCACTACTCTGTTTCCAAACCAGTGTTTACCAATTTCGCGCCTAAATCTAAATTTGTCTAATTTAAAACCATGGGTTACGAGTTCGCTCCTGGTTGGATAGTTTGAGTACCTTTGTAATTTCCCCTTTGTTTAACCCTGACTTCCATTTATACACCTCTATCATGTCGCCCCTCACTCTACGTCTCTCGAGGGAGTGCAAATTAAGATGCTTTAACCTGTCTCTGTATTCAAGGTTCCTAATACCTGGGATTAGTCTTGTCATTCTCCTCTGGATTCTTTCCAATGATTCTATATCCATTCTGTAATACGGTGACCAGAACTGAACTGCGTAATCCAGGTGAGGTCTCACAAGCACTAGATATAATTTTAAGATGACCTCGCTAGTCTTGTAACTAACACTCCTTTGTATGAACCCAAGTATTTTATTAGCCTTGTTACGAGCAAAAACACATTGTTTAGTTGGCTTAAGATTCCTACTTATCATTACTTCTAAATGTCTCTCGCAGTCGGATTCCACAATGGCATCGTTGTTCATCTGGTAACTGGTTTCCCTGTTTACATCTCCTATACTGAGTACTTTACATTTGTCCACATTGAATTTCATCTGCCATTTTTCCGACCATTCGAAAAATTTGTTTAGATCATCCTGTAGTTTTGCAGAGTCCTCGTCAGATTTAATTACACGTCCTATTTTAGTGTCATCAGCAAATTTACTTATGTTGCTGTCTATGCCAATATCTATGTCGTTTATGTATATAATAAATAATAATGGTCCAAGTACTGAGCCTTGGGGAACTCCACTAGTGACGTTGCTCCAATGCGATTTAGTGCCATTTATGCTCACTCGTTGTTTCCTGTCCTGTAACCATGCCCTAATCCATTTGAGGATATTACCTTTGATGCCATGCGCTTCTACCTTTCTAATTAGTCTTTCGTGGGGGACTCTGTCGAAGGCTTTGCTAAAGTCGAGATGTACCACATCATAATTGTGCCCCTCGTCCACCGATTCGAAAACTGATGAAAAGAATGTTAATAGATTAGTTAGACATGAACGCCCGCTTGTGAAGCCATGTTGGGAATCATTGATCAACTTGTGCTTCTCCAGGTGGTTTCGAATAGAGTTTGAAATAATTGATTCTAGTAATTTACCTACTATTGATGTTAGACTGATTGGGCGGTAGTTAGAGGATAGTGATCTATCCCCCTTCTTGAAAATCGGTATTACATTCGCTATCCTCCAGGATTCTGGCACGACACCTGTTTTTAATGACATGTTAAACAACTTTGCTAAGGGCATACTAAGCTCTTCCTTACATTCCTTTAATACTCTGGCAAATATCTCATCGGGACCAGGTGACTTATTAGGCTTCAGTTTGTCTATTTGCTTATTAACATCGTTACTAGTCACTACTATCTCGCTTAATTTGTTTTCTTCACTATCTCTGAACAGAGTCGGTGCCTCGGGTATCATGTTTAAATTTTCGGTGGTGAAAACTGCTGAAAAAAATTTATTCAGATTATTGCTCATTTCTCCGTCGTTATCAGTTAGCTCGCCGGTATCTGAACGTATTGGTGCAATCTTATCTCGTGTTTTAGTTTGATACATTTGGTAGAATCCTTTGGGGTTTGTTTTCGCCTCCCCTGATTCCTTCAGTTCATAGTTCCTCTTGGCTTTTCTTATCTCGGTCTTAACCCTACCGGCCAATACCTTATAATACTCCCGGAGGTAAAATTCGCCACGATTTATCCTTCTACCTTCCTTTGTCCAATAATATTCTTTAAATAATTATTTATCCATTTAGGGTCATTGTTGTCTGATCTGAGTTTTTTGTATGGTATGTTCTGCCTTTGTGCATTAAGTAACTCGTTATTTTAATTGTCGTGGAACTCGGCAATCTCAGATCTCGTTATCAGGTCGGTGTCATCTTGGTTCACATCCAAGCGTGATACCCCCTCTCTCAGCTGCCTCTTTAAACTATCAAACTTTGCCCTTCTGAAATCTGGGACTTTAATGGTATTCCCTTTACGTCTGACCTGAAAATCTAACTGGAATCTAATTTCTTTGTGATCGCTGTTTGCAAGTTCTTTCCCTACCTCGACATTGCTAATGAGGTTTTCTCTGTTCGACAGAACAAAATCCAGTATATTATTACCCCGGGTGGGTTCGGTTATATATTGACTAAGGAAACAGTCCTGGATCGTTTCGAGGAAATCCTCTGATACTGAGTTACCCGTAAGGTCAGTCCAATCTATTTGGCCAAGGTCAAAATCGCCTACTATACAGGCTTTGTTGTGTATGGAAGCCCTGCCCATTTCATCCCAGATAAGTCGCTCATTAACTCTATCAAGATTGGGAGGTCTATATATTACTCCTATGATTAATTTTTCCCTACCGTCGATTAATTATATCCAAATTGTTTCTGTATTCCGCTCAGTTTTTATTTCCTTATTTATTTCGCACTTCAGATTATCCCTGACATAGATGGCTACTCCGCCTCCTTTCCTGGACGGCCTATCAGTATGGAACAATTTGTAATCCGCAATTTGGTATTCGACAGGTAACTCACGTGAGTCTAGGTTGATCCATGTTTCAGTGAATGCTAATATATCGATTTTTTCGGCACATACTAAGGCCCTAATATCATCCATTATGTTTCTCATGCTTCTACTGTTCGCGTAGTAGACATTTAAGTTAGTAGTGTTCTGAGTCCTCCCTTTACCGCGTTTAGGTTTAAATTCCCTGTCTAATTTAGTTTTGTCATCATACCTAACACTATTTCCCTGTAATCTTTCACTTGGTTTACCCGCTACCACTGCAGTCTCCTCCACCCCCGTGCTCTCATGCTCCCCTAGCAGTTTAAAGACTTTGATATCTTTTGAAGTGCCCCCTCTAGAGACCCAGCCAGGGTTGCCACCCCCTCCCGAGACAGGGGCACCCCATCCCTAGCATAAAGGTCCCTTCTGCCGTAGAAGTTGTCAATGAATGGGACTGATATTGACTTACAATATCCGTCAAGACGGCCGTTGACACCAACTGCCCTTGACAACCATTCATTGCTAACTCAACTTCTAGGCAGGACACCACATATGATAGGGATCCCTCCCTTAGTCCTAATACGATCTACAGTACTGTATAGCTGTCTTGAACTTATCAAGAAGCTCCTCACTCCTACACCGGCCAATATCATTGCCTCCTGCACTGAGGCAGATAATGGGTTTGTTCCCATTACCAGACAAGATATTGGAGAAAGGAAACTCACAATGTGCTCTCTGTATACATATTGTATTGGATGTACAGTGCAGCTTGGTGCTGGGAAGTGGCAGCGTGGTTACAAGCGTGATGTAGAGAGAGCTGGTTGGTGAGGGTGCTCAGAGGAGGACCAGCTTGTGGGTCGCCATGGTCGCCGGCGGGAGCGAGGGCCGCCAAGCAGGAGTGGAGGAGGTGTTGCTTGAAGACTGGCTGTAGGTAGAAAGAGGTAGGTCACCACGAGGTGAGATCTTATAGAGCAGAGGTAGGCGTGGCTTAATAGTTGACCTCCGTCATGTAAGGCGGCTCTGGTTGACCTAGACCACGAGGCATACACTGGGGAATTCGCGGGGCCTGCTACTCAGCGACAAAAGCGTTTGTAGGGGAGGAATCCACTACAGTATAAGCTAGGCAAGTTCAGGCGCTCCAATCTCTCA